TAAATTAAATAAAATTAGAATTATAGCTTTTATTACCTATTTAATTTATTACAATTATTAGGTTTTATTACGGCAATATAAAAATATAAATGTATTTAAACAATAGTATATTATGTAACAAGTTTGATAAACGGCGTTTAAGTCAAATTTAAAATAGGCACAAGCAAGTTTGCGAGCGAGCGAGCAAGTGTTTAATTAAATGAGTGTCTAGAAAAGTTTATAAACGAGTTGCATACTATACTTTTTCTACGACAAATACCTATTATTATCTAAAAATGATTAGAAAAATATAGTAACTGTAAGAATGGAAATCTATATTACAGGCGGCAAATGTCAATTTAAATCGAAATTTATCCCTTGAAAATGGAAAACATATGCATTTATATATATATATATATATATATATATATATATATAGACCGTGATGCCGGCGAAATCTAAAGGTCAGTACAAACTTTTTAAATATTGGCGTTGAGAAACTAATTAATACTTTTAAATGTTTGTATTAAGAAAATACAATAATTTTTGCATTTAGTTTTATTTCACAGGAAGAGCACTATTTAAGGATTTTATGACATTTGACAACTTTCAACTAACTTAAAGCTAACTTCAACCCTTGACTAAAAACCTGTTGCTAACTTCAGCCTGTGACTAAAGCGGAATAAAGACATAGGTTTCAATGTGTATTTAAAAGATCACTTAGTGTCATGAATACATGTACGATAATGGGCGTATTAAAGGTGGGAGTAGAAAAAAATATTATATATTGGCTATTTTGTATCCAGTGTTACATGTTACAGCTTTCGTTTAAGTGTTGTATAATTAATCAAATTAATCTTAAAATAGTATTTAAAAAAAAATATACTGTTAAAACATTAGTTATGTACAATATAAAATATATATGTAAAATATTTTTTTAAATAAGATAAAATATAACAGATTTGACGTTTGCAAAATAAATTTTTAATATCCTCTAAATTTCTTGAAATATTTTCTTGTAATATTCGATTATAATGAATTCTTTAAAAAAAATTTAATTACATCCTCATAAATAGACAAAAAGGCAGACTTTTGTAATGGGGTTGGAACATGATGTGGAAAATCAGTGTGAAATTACTTCTATTATGAAGTTTAATCAACAACCATATATAAATAAAAAAATGCTTTCTTTCAATTTGTTCTTAAAAACAACTATGAAAATCGAGTGTGACGATTTTATACTAAAAATGGTGTATTGGTAGGTATAATAGGCGCGTCAAGTACCTACTACGAACAAAGTATATGCAAAAAAAAGAAAATCCCAACACAGCCAAATTATTTGACATTTATAATCTTTTGTAATCATTCGTAATTCTTGACACATCTGTGAGGTCACGATCTTACTTCAAGGTCATTGAAGCGTTTTCAATCTTAATCTTTAATCTTAAAATTTTTTAGAGAAACGTAGGAAAAAATTTTCAATAGGAAAATGTGTAATATAGGTACAATATGCAATATATGTAATATATTATTAATGAAAATATCTTAAATTTATATGCAATAAAATATATATTTTAATGGTGTAAGGAACTAAATCACCTTGAATAATCCGATACTTTATTAAAAAGCAGATTTTCTTTTTTATTTTTATGATTTTAAACATATATTCTCAAATGTCAAATCTTTAAAGTAAAAAATATAAAAATAGAAAAAGTAATGGTTTTGAATTTTTTTTAAATATGCATAATATTTAATATTTTTGTTACTTTTTAGTTAAGTTTACACATATATAATATATATTATATATGTATACTATTTTGGGGAAATAGAAAAGCAAATAATACCAATATTGACCATTTTACGAAATACAAGGTGTTAAAATTAAATTTTTCACTGATTTTTGTTGCCAGCAAAAAACTTAAAAATAAAAACTTTGTTGTACCTATAGCGCATCGAAAAAGTGCAATCGCTTGATATATCGTATAAAGGCATTTTATTGTATTTTTAAATTTCAGCCTATTTGTGCATTTTTTTAACAATAAAGTAAATAATATAAAAATTTAAAATAGGGCAAGCAATTAAAATTTTTCTTCGGGCCCCAAATGATTTTAATAAAGAAATTTATTTTTTGGTTTAAAGCATTCTTAAAAGCAATAATAAAACTTGGGATCCTATTAAATACCTTGTTTACGCCTTACAAAGGACGCCCATATTTAAACCCCCAGACGTCCTGCTAAATACAGGACACCTGGCAACCCCACACTTATGCACCACTAATATTTTTTTTTCATAAAACAGTATTATAGACTTTAAAGATTAAATAAAATTAAATTTTATGTATCAAAATTTATTTATTTTTCTTTTGTCTGTTTTGTCTTTAAAATATGAAATAAAAATTTATAAAACTATTTTAAATGCACATATTTAAAACAATCGTCTACATAACATAAAAAAGAAAACAATTTTGTTCAGGGACTTTTCATCCAGTCAATCTGGTTTATGCAGCCTTCATAAGTCCAAATATTTTTACAGACAATTACAAAAAATAATCAGAATCATGAACATAATAAACAATTATATATATTGCTATAGAGATTGGTATGTAAGATATAAAATTAATAATTATAACCTAATGTATTTAAACAAGTCTTAAATTTTGAAATCCTTGAAATTAAAAAAGAGGTACCTAATCCAATCTCATCGAATATTGATTAAAATTATTATTTATTTATACAGAAATATTTCAATGGTTTAAAGGGTGGTTAAAATATTTCAGGTAGGTATATTCAATTTACAATTATAAATACATTAGGGCGAATTTCTTTATAAAAGCTTTATAATACCCATTGATTTTTACTAATGATTTGTTTACGTATTTAGGTTGGGTGAGAACTACACTAAAAGTGTTTTACTACATTTTAAATGAATTTTAAGCTATTTCAAAATTAACTCTATACTTGACATGCATTTTTACTGAGATGTATAAGAACAATACAATATTTAGTTAAAAAAAATTATATTTTGTTTGTCTTTTCTGGTCGGTTTTAAATAAAAATAAAATATAGGTAAATCAGGTCCATTTTTCTAAAATTTGGCATGGATTTGATGAATTTGCTGGGTGGACAGTAGCCACGTCGTTTTTGCATTGAGATTTTTTTCCGAGCTTTTCCGGAAAATCCAGAAAGACGGCGAAAGAGATATAACTGTTGGTTGAATTAACACATTCTTTACCTATGCTGGATTTTCTAAATTCGAGAATAGTATATTCTGTAACAAGTTTGGAATACAGCATATTCCGCTCGAGTGAAGAGTTTGTCACACGAGCCGAAGGCGAGTTTGACGGTTTCACGAGAGCGGAATATGCAATTCCAAACGTGTTTCAGACTATACTTTTTCTACGTTTCCAAAAAATACCATAGAAAAGTCATTTGATTGGAAGAAAGTGAGGTTGGATAGGTCTAAAATTTGTTAGATATTAAAAACAGAGATGTCGCCACGAGTGTTTATTCTGTCATAGGATTATAGAATATTTCATTCTGTAACACTTTACGGAATACATGTCATTCCATAGATAAAAGTGGTAATAGAACGGTCAAATTCCGTAATAGGAGTAGAAAAAAAGAATTATTTTATTATCTCAATACAAAAATACAAAAGTAATAAATAGTTTCTTGACGCCAATATTTAAAAAGATTATATGAACGTTAGTACTGACCTTTTGATTTTGCCGTAGTAGTGCAGTTAACAAGATTTAACTGATAAAGCGTTAAAAATTTTGCGTACAGTGCCCATAAAACATTCTCTTCTCTTTTATTGTGAAAAATTCCTTTCAATATATTAGTCTTTTTTAAAGGGATAAATTTTGATTTAAATAGAAAAATTTGAGATTTTTGGATTCCGAAGTTATAGTAATAAAAGAATTAAAGGATAAAATATGTTCCTAAACATATTTTGAAGTTATTTTAATATTTTAAAGTATCAACAATTGAATAGGTCAATGCAGAAACTGAATATGTCCACTTTTTAGGGATATTGAGTTAAACATGGATTTACTATAAGTAAAGGGTGCCCGATCGAATAGCGTAGAAATTTCACATGTCACGGTAATCTAGATTATACAAAGGCGTTAATATAGTAGAGAAATGTATTAAAGCAACGCTAAGTTATTCAGTTTTTCTTATTTATCTCAAAACTAGATAGGTAGGACATATTCAGTTTCTGCATTGACGTATTCAATTGTTAAGTTTAATTAAAAATAATAACAGGCAATGTTAATGGTGAAAATGTTTATTGGGGTGGTTACTTTATTTTCGTATAGATGTCGCTTTATACAAATATTTAATTTAAATAATTTTTAAGATAATATTAAGTATTTGTCGTAGAAAAAGTATAGTATGCAACTCGTTTATAAACTTTTCAAGGCACTCATTTAGTTAAGCACTTACTCGCAAGCTTGCTCGTGCCTAAATTAAATTCGTGACTAAAATAGCGTTTATCAAACTTGATCCATAATAAACTATTCACATTTTTTATTTTATTTAAATATTTTTTTAATTTTTACTTAAGTTGAGCGCTTTGGTGGGGGATCATTTGGCCGTTGATTAAATTAAATATCGAATCGTCGCGAGATTTCGGTAACAAGAAGATGATTTATCAGTGCCGGGGCTTGACGTTTGTTCGTACAGAGCGGCTACCGAAATAAATGTATTTAATTGTGCCTGAACATAAAGATGATGGACGGGGTGACATTCCTTAGACCGCCTGAACTTAGCCTGAACAGACAGTATTTACATTTATAAAATTGTTTTCTAATAAATTATCTATGTAGGCAGTCAATAAGAAAGTTTGGGGTATGTAGTTTAAATGGTAATTTGTTTGGACAAGTAATTAATTATTATTGCGGTAATTAGTGCTACTAATTTAGTGGGTGCATAATAGGTGAGTGGTAACGTGAGGTGCAAACCATGTTAACAAATTACGCCACATACCGCTATCTTTAAATCCATTTTTAAAAGTATTACCGGTGTTTCCGTAGTCGCACTGCATTGCCATCACAAGGGCGAACAACCCGTAAAGGTGGAAGCGCATTTTAACCGGACTAAAATTTGAACGACTCTCGCGGTACTGGTAACCGGAGCTCAGAAGAGGTACTGAATCAATTGCAGGCTGGTCCGTCCGAGTGGGAAAGTGAATAATACCGAACAGGAAAGTTGATTTTGCTGCTCGGTTTGCAGCTTTCATTTGGCCGATGGTCGCAGCATCGCGTCGGATGTGATCTCTAAGTAGGCCTTGCAGGTGCTTAGCATACACACGCTTCACGATTTTAATGAGCCCGAAATGATCGGTTCGATTTTAGATTAGCATTGCAAGCCATGGCTACGTGACCGGGTATACTAAACTACTGTTTAGACGTCAGGAAATGCATTGAATTTTGCAAGATCTTTTTATGTCAACTGTGTTTTAATCGCATGGGATTTTTAAGTTAAAATGCCAGTATTCAATTAATCTTTATAGTTTTTTATAATTATTTTTTGAGTCAGGATTTCTCAAACGATTTTGTCAAACTTATATTCAATATAGGTACCGTTTTTCATACTATTTATAATAATTTAGCAGTATTATTTAAACTGCAGATATATTTTTACAATTAAGGACGCTTTTAAAAATCCAAAAAAAATATTAAATTAAATCAAATCAAATCAAATCAAATCAAATCAAATCAAATCAAATCAAATCAAATCAAATCAAATCAAATCAAATCAAATCAAATCAAATCAAATCAAATCAAATCAAATCAAATCAAATCAAATCAAATCAAATCAAATCAAATCAAATCAAATCAAATCAAATCAAATCAAATCAAATCAAATCAAATCAAATCAAATCAAATCAAATCAAATCAAATCAAATCAAATCAAATCAAATCAAATCAAATCAAATCAAATCAAATCAAATCAAATCAAATCAAATCAAATCAAATCAAATCAAATCAAATCAAATCAAATCAAATCAAATCAAATCAAATCAAATCAAATCAAATCAAATCAAATCAAATCAAATCAAATCAAATCAAATCAAATCAAATCAAATCAAATCAAATCAAATCAAATCAAATCAAATCAAATCAAATCAAATCAAATCAAATCAAATCAAATCAAATCAAATCAAATCAAATCAAATCAAATCAAATCAAATCAAATCAAATCAAATCAAATCAAATCAAATCAAATCAAATCAAATCAAATCAAATCAAATCAAATCAAATCAAATCAAATCAAATCAAATCAAATCAAATCAAATCAAATCAAATCAAATCAAATCAAATCAAATCAAATCAAATCAAATCAAATCAAATCAAATCAAATCAAATCAAATCAAATCAAATCAAATCAAATCAAATCAAATCAAATCAAATCAAATCAAATCAAATCAAATCAAATCAAATCAAATCAAATCAAATCAAATCAAATCAAATCAAATCAAATCAAATCAAATCAAATCAAATCAAATCAAATCAAATCAAATCAAATCAAATCAAATCAAATCAAATCAAATCAAATCAAATCTAAACAAAACAAAACAAAACAAAACAAAACAAAACAAAACCAAACGAAACAAAACAAAACAAAACAAAACAAATCAAATCAAATCAAATTAAATTAAATGTACAAGGTGTCATGAAAATGGCGGTCTAATGGTATCGAAATAAACCTGTTAGCAATGGTTGAATGTTGACAGTTGTATTTTCTGACAGATCGCGTCAAAAAAGCCCCTTTATAGAAATCTCATAGGCGAGAGTGAGATACAAAATACACTGTGGCGTATAAAAACGCATCATTAAGTGTTAAAACAACAGTTTTTTGTCAAAAGAACGTAATTTTTACTTAACTAACTATAGTGCGACAAGTATGAAATTCTCGAATGCAAAAGTGTCATTTCGCAATCTAGCATAAAAAATAACTATTTTGTAATCTGTGCTGTATAAAATCTGAAATTATTTGTGAATGTGTCTAATGCATATATTAAATTTTAAAGATTTTACATAGGAAACTCTTCAAATGGAGATACTACCTTAAGAGGTAGTCCATGAAGTAAGGTGGGGTGGTTTACAGTTTGTGACAAAGCGTGACCTAGGGTGAGGGGTCTGGATCTTGCGTTACGTCTCACCAATCAATTAAAAATAAAAGGTCATCTATATAATATATGGATGACCCCTTATTTTTCCTTTATATATATTATATAAAAAATAATATTTTTTTATACCAAATTTCATCAACATCTTGATTAGTCGTTAAATACTTTTAAAAAAGGCGAATGCGTCGGGATAAATTTAAAAAAAACCTTTCTTGTCGGTTATCCATGGGCATTAATTAATCAGTACATCCAACTATATACAGTGTGTTTCCTTTTAAGTGTGGACACCTCTGTAGCAGACCAAAATTCAACAGGTTAGGCATTTATTTATTGTAAAACTGACTACATCATCGCGTTCAGTACTATCCCAAATGCCCATATCAAAAATTTGATGAAAATCAAAAAATATTTAGTGAAGTTGTTTTTTCTCGAAATTAGGAAAAGTTAGATTAAACTTTATTTTATTGGCAAGAGAGTGCTATGACTTTAAATTATTTTATTGTATTTCATAGCACACTCTTGCTAATAAAATAAATTTTAATCCAACTTTTTGTGATTTCGAAAAAAAACAACTTTACTAAATATTTTGATTTTTTATTTTCATCAAATTTTGGATATTGGCGATACCCATGACGCTTAGTTTTAAAAAAAATAATTATGTCTACTATATACAGCCCAGCCCGTTCAGAGTAAAACCGAATATAGGGAAACGTATCGGGCGTGGCCTCGTCTCCCTCCAACGCGCGTCGCAGTAGCTTGTGTGATAAACGACATGACGAAAGGTCGAGTAGGTAAGACGACCTTGAAAATTAAATGATAATAATGCAAAAAATCTCATTAACATTCGCTTAGCTACTGTGTCGCGCGTTGGAGGGAGGCGAGGCCACGCCCCATACGTTTCCCTACAATCAACAAAAAAATAATAATTTTATGAAAAATTCCTTATTTATCATGTGCATTTAAGTCTTTTGAACATTTGTGTTATGTAGAATGAAATGTGTCCACCACACGACGAGTAAGGAGCTCAACTGGTCCATTATATGTGGATCTAACATCTGAGAACTAAGTATCAAAAAGTATTAACCTCACTTTTTTACAATTTTAAGTAAAGGCCCACTAAGGAGCGAAATAGTATTTTGCCCACGGGTAAGAAATGAACAATCACTCCCACTCACCACTCTCAGCAGGGCTACGAAATTACATATTCCTTGAAAGTGTTAAATAGTTAATTGTAAAAAATATTGTTTTAAATTTATACATATCTATACAGTTTAAGCACGCACGAAAACAGGGCCTTAGGGCAGCAACATCTAAATAGCTTGACCTTTAATGAGATAATTAAAGTTCTGAAAAAGTGGTCTGGCCCTGGATCAGGGCCGTAAGCAGTGGAGTGGGATAAAAGATTAAATATAAAATATGTATATAAGAATAAATATTATTGTCCAGTAAAGTATTTATGGAAACACAACTACCAGCTAAACTGTATTTCTAGGTGACATGTACGCTCCCTCCAAAGTCGTCCCTTGAAGAGACTACCTCTTTTAATGGAACCACCAACATCCAGTATGGATTTACCTCGACCACCTGAGGTTTTAAGTATATATATATATATAAATAAATACCTATAGGAATACATAATACCTAACACATTTCTTGGTAATAGCATAGTTGACATACTTAAAGGTGGGTACCTAGGTAAGTCAGATGAATTTTCTCGAGAAAACACTAAAACGCATTGTTTGTTTCATATAAAATATTTATCCTTGCATAACGGTTTTGTCTAGTCACAACAAAAACAGTTATTTATATGTTTTGAAGGACAAACAGGATTCTTGGGATCTGCATGAAGAAACTTGGCTTTCTTTTATTTTAAACTTGATAATTGGTTAAAAATTTTATATTAGTTCTATAATTTTTTAATACCATCATGGGTGTTTACAAAAACTAGATCCCACCATAATGTTGATATTTTTTTAAATATGTATTAGGTACATACAATAAGACTATTTATTTACTCCTACATTGACGAGCTGTGACTATGGCGTTTTAGTCACAGGCTGAAGTTAGATTTATTATAAATTGGGGAAAAGTGAGGTTAAATCCATTAACATTTAACAATTAAAATTGGCTTTAAATTCTTCTTGTTCGTCGTAGATAAAGTATAGTATGCAACTCGTTTTTATTAAACACTCGCTTGCAAGCTTTCCTCGTTCCTAATAAAACTCGTAACTAAAATGACATTTATAAAACTTGATATATGAGTACCTTAGATGCAAAACTCGGTTTTTGCAAATTAAAAAATAAAATAAAATTGACTTTAAATTCTGTTTAGTGTTCGTCCTAGATAAATGGCGTTCATAAAACTTGATACATAATAATATTATATTATATATATTATTATGTATCAAGTTTTATAAACGCCATTTATCTAGGACGAACACCAAACAGAATTTAAAGCCAATTTTTTTTTTTTTTTAAATTTGCAAAAACCGAGTTTTGCATCTAATGTACTCATATAATATAATATTATATTTTACTTATAGATATACCAAGTACACTATCAAATTAAATGTCAAAAGGAAGATGATTTTCATTTCTCTTGCGAGGCTTGACCTTATTTAATGCCAAATTTTTAAGTCGCTAAGCGGTATGGAATTCTATTATTATAAAATAAACATTATTTAAATTATTCATCGCCCTAAGGTAAATTAAAAATCTTTTTTAGAGAGCTAGAGAAAGTAAATAGATTTATTTTTATTAATTATAATTTTAAATAATGAGAATTATGTGTAAGTGTAAACGATAATTTGATCCATGTTTGCTTTTTATTACCAAAACCCAGTAAGTCACCATCTGATTGAGCCCGGGCAAATAGCAGCAAAAACGAAGAATTACTTTTAATTTATTTATCTCTTTTATAGTATTCGTTTGATGATTGTTTGACATAGCCAGAATGCCACTATTTAATAAACATGTAGGTATCTAAAAAAAAAATCCCACCCATAATGTAAGTAGATTATTTCCTCCATAATATAGTTTTTATTGGCTAAAACGTACCTACACACTTAATTGAAATGAATGTGTCTATTGGTTTTTATAAACGTCAGAAAATAATTATAATCATAAATTACGAATCCATATTAAATCAACCAATTTAATTTAAAAGGATTGCTGAAATTTTTTTTTTTTAATTTTTTAACTGTTTGTACTAGGGGTCTCAATCCCGGTATCCCGTAAAAAACTTTTCCCGAAAATCCCGGTATCTTTGTAACATGTTATAAAGAATAAAATATACTTTTTTTTAAACCGCTTTAACCTATTACTTTAGGGCCATTCCACGCTTAACGAATAGGACAGTTGCCGTGTTTTTATTTACAAAATAATATTGTTCTATTATATTACCAATGTCAAATTTTTATAAATAGTTCTAAACAAAAGCTGTTTAACAAGGTTTTTATTTGGCAAAATTAGGTATCGTGATTGACTGTTTAATTCCTTAAAAATTAATAATTTAAAGCGTAAAGGACGGGACCATTACAAAGTCCCGTCCGTTACGCTTTAAATTATTAGTTTTTAAGGAATTAAACAGTCAACCACGATACCTAATTTTGCCAAATAAAAACCTTGTTAAACAGCTTTAGTTTAGAACTATTTATAAAAAATTGACATTGGTAATATAATAGAACAATATTATTTTGTAAATAAAAACACGGCAACTGTCCTATCCGTTACGCGTGGAATGGCTCTTTATTTGTATTAAATATTAAGTTAAAAGTGTAAAATTAATAAATGATATAATACTACTTAATCAACCGTATCATAACTTCAATCATATGACGATTATAATATTTTTATTATACTTATTAAGATCCAGTTTTTTAATTTATATAATAATTTAATTTACTTTCTATTATACAAATTTTAATATACGTTTTTTAACATATATTTTTCTCCGTGTATATATAGGCTATATATAGAAAGACTTTTTTACGCAGTTCAAAAGTAAAATTATTATACACCGCCGTACAATAATGAAAATACATTGAAATTACAAAATACAGTTTATCAATATCTAGACTTAAAAATAAATCCGGTTAAAATCGCACAATAAATAAAGATTTTACAAGGGTGAGTCGCAAACAAATGGGTCACTCTGTATATTATGCGACTAGTGGAAGATTCCTCGAGCGTAGTGGAATAGTCGCACATAATATTTTATTTAAGTACCGCAAGGAATTTAAAGCCAATTTTATTTGATATTGTACTGACAACTGTCAAACAGTTTTAACCTCATTTTTTTTCAATTTTAACTTTTTTCCTTCGAATAATTTTTTTGTCGTTATACTCACAACTATTCAACATTTAACAATAATATTGTAACAATGTTACTACTGTACCGCACCTGTTTTTTTTTTAAATAGTATCAAGTTTAAATAGTATCAAGTATAAAAAATAGCAGAAGGCATTTTTCTTGTTAAAACTGAGAGAGGTAGTCTACAGGAAGCCCTATAGAAAGAACCCAAAAGTATATTTTTTAAACATGAAATACCCATCGTTGGGGAATTACTAAAATTAAATAAAACCACATATTTTTTTTCAAACACATTTATTTTCCTCCAATGTGTACATTTTCATCCAAATTTTGTCAACTTGTCTTCAAATATTGTGAATTATGCTGAAAGAAATTCCTAACTTTTGTAATTCCACAACGATGTTGGTATAGGTATTTAAATCTAAAAAGCCTTCTGAAACATAAAAATAATTAAAAATACTTGGAAATACTTAAAAAATAACAAAAAATATATGTGATTTATGCTATAAAAAAGAAGATAATCCGATTTTGTAGCAGTCTTATTTTGCCTTTCTTCTCCTTTGGGTTCTTTCTCCTAGGTATTAAAACTTACCAAAACACTAAAATAACGACTAATTTTTGCGAATGAGGATTTCTTTATTATACGCAATTACATATACAATTATTTTGTACAAATCTCGTAAATTGCAATGGCCGGTGGTTCGCTGCGTCCACACTTGGATACCGCGTAGATCGTGATCTGAATTGTGCTGCTCAAATCAAGACAGTGAATCATGGCGCTCGTCCTTTCGCCGCTCATAACTTTCGACTTTAAAACTCCGTTCACGAAAATATCGTAGCCGAGGATTTTCGACGAAGATGGAGGACTCCATTTGACGATTATGCTGTCGTTTGTTATCCGACGGATGTCGATGACTTCAAATCCAGACATTTCCTTGGATTTTGAGCTCTTCTTCTTTTTATCCTTTGATTTTTCTCTTTTTTCCTTCTTCTTTGAAGAATCTTCCCCACAGTCGCCGCCCTTGGAGGTGGTTTCTTTAGCCTTATCGTAATCTGGCACTTCTTTTCCACAGTCTATTTTCTTCTTCAGCAGTTTATCAACGTACTTGTCTCCTGCGCGGGATTTTAACTCCCCCGTCATTGCGTCGATCATTTTATCCTTGGCTTTGCATTTCTCCTCCAAGTTTGTCAAAGCCATTTTAAGTCCGGACATGGTGTCGCCGAAACTCGATGCTGTTTTTACAAACGGTTTATTCTGCATCGCCTTGAGCTCCGCTTCGGTGCAAGAACACCGAATGTTATCCAAAGTTTTCCGTATTTCCTCGATTTCCTGCTTACATTTGCAGGATTCTTGTTTGTCCGAAGCGATTTTTTCTCTTAAAGTCCTGTCATCGTACCTGCTTATGTCATCTTTGCATTTGTTTTTCGATTTTGTTGTTTTTTTGTCGTCCTTGCATTTATTTTCCTTTTTTTCTTTGATAACTGGGGGAGGGCTTTTGTTGCATTGTGCGCACGCACAAGGCGAGCATTTGCACTCTTCTCTTGTCGGTATTTCGAATGGAGGTGCTTCACCTTCATTTCCGCAATTATCATCGCCACCCTTATTATCGCCACCCTTGTTCTTGTCCTGGCAAATGATGCAGTCGCAGGTGGTGCACTCGCACTTTTTCCGCACAGGTAATTCGAAGGGGGGCGGGTCTCCTCCCGCGCCACCTTTACCATTGCATTGGCAAATATTGCAACCGCAATTCGGACAAGGGCCAGTACCTTTGGCAGCCTTGGGGCCCTCACCGCTACCCTCGCACTTGCAAGGAGAGCACTTGCAATTTGGGCACTGTCCTTTGCCTTCCTCTTCCTTTTTAACATCTACAGGACCCGCTCCTTTCCCCTTACAAACATCGCATTCGCATTTGATGCAAGAGCAAGTTCCGTCCGCAGCAGTGCCGGTGACCATGCTTGCATCCTTTTTGTCCTCTTTTGCACCGCCTTTCTCCTCTTTTTTTTCAGCCTCGCATAGGCACGGCGAACAACCACAGTTGGGGCAGGGACCAGGTCCACTTTGCGCATCTTTCACTTTGTCTTGGTCTTTTTCGCATTTGCAAGGACAACAACTGCAATTGGGACAAGGTCCTACGCCAGCATCTTTAGTCTCCTCTTTGTTGCCGCCGCCTGCTTTATGCATACAATCAGCGCATTTGCATGTGTCACAAATACATCCAGGAGGTCCTCCTTCTTCTTTGTCACCACCTGTTTTGATGGTCTGTTCGCATTGGCAGGGAGAGCAGTTGCAGTTCGGGCAGGGCCCGGCACCGCTTGGTGAACTCTTGTCTTCATCCTGTTTCTTTTCTTGCTCACATTTGCATTGTGCGCAAGTGCAAGAAAACAATTTGCTCGGGGAAGTTTTGCTCATATCGATAGTTACGTTTGAAGCGTCCGTTGTTCCTTTATCGCCATCTGTTTTGATGGCCTCTTCGCATTTGCAGGAAGAGCAGTTGCAATTGGGACACGGCCCTTTGCCGTCTTTTGGTTCATCGCTTGGTGAACCTTTGTCCCCATTATTTTTATTCCCTTGCTCGCATTTGCAAATAGGACAAGTGCAAGCGAACAGCTTGCTTGGGGAAGTTTGGCTCATATCGATAGTTGCTTTTGAAGCGTCCGTATTGGCATCTTTAGCATCCTGAGCTCCATTGGCATCTTTAACATCCTGAGCTCCACCTCCTCCGCCCTCTTCGAGGACAGGGCAACAGCAATCCGTACACTTGCACGTCGAAATGCCGCATCTCGGGCCGGCAGCGGCCTGTTCTTGATCGCCTGCCGCACCAACGCACTCGCATTTCGCGCAAATGCAGTTCGGCGATCCGCAAGGACTTTCTTTTTTATCTTCTTCTGCCATTCCCGTGGGACACACGCACTCGTCACAATGACACTCCGGTATACCGCACTTACTGGGCGACGTTTTCTCTTCTCCGCCGCTGCTGTCTGCCGGCTGGCAAATGCACGCATCACACGTACAGTCCATTCCGTGAGTCTGCTTATCTACCTTTGGCAGTTGATCCCCACCTGGTAAACAAGCACATATAGTACAGGTACAAAGAGGCGATAATCCAGAAGTTACGTCTTTTTTCGCCTCGACGATCGTCTTCAGGCACTCGCACACCGGACAGGTGCAATTCGGAGTGCCGCACGGCGCCTGCCCACCACTAGCTTCTTCGTCGCATTTGCACACGTCGCAATCGCACTCTCCCTCCGGCTTTTTCGCCTTCTCCTTCGACTCTTCCTCCTCGCACTTGCAAATGTCGCAATCGCACCCTCCTTCCGGCTTTTTCGTAATCTCCGCCGTCTTGTCCTCATCCTTGTCCTTTTCCTTGCCCTTGTCGCCATCTTCTTCTTCGCACTGGCATATGTTGCAGTCGCAATCTCCTTCGCCCGTCGCCTTGTTCGGATCGGCGCATTCTGCGCATCCGCAAACAGGGGTGCAATCGCACGGCACCGCCGATATTGCCGGGTCGGCGCACTCGTCGCACTTGCATTCGGGCGTGCAGTCGCAAGGCACGATCTCCTCCTCGTCCTGTTTGCACTTCGCGTCCGGCAAGCATTTGCACTCGTCGCACGTGCAACCGGACGCTTCGGCAGCTGCAGCGGCCGCTTTCCTTTTCAAACAAGAATCGTCCGGAGTGCACATGCACACTTTGCACGTGCACTTGCCCTCTTTCTTCTTCGTTACATCGGTGCAATCGTCGCAAGAGCAGATGCTGCAAGTGCAACCGACCGCTCTGAAAGTCTGCTGCGTTTTGTACACGCACGGTTGGCACTTGCATTCCGGGCAATCGCACGACTTGGCGTGCTCCTTCTGAAAGTCGGCCAGGCCCACGCACGCGCACAACGTGCAGTCGCAGTCTCTCGGATGGGGGCCGGCGGCCGCCTGCTGAAACTCGCCGAGCAAATCGCAGGCGCACTTTGGGCAGTCGCAGTCGGGCGGATGGATGACGGGCAGCGCTTTCAGGCACTTGCACTCGTCGCAATCGCAATCAATCGGATGCCCTCTTTCGTTCAGTTTCAGCGGTCCTTGTGGTTCCGGCAAAATTATGTTGACGCATTCCTCGCACAGGCACTGAATGCACGTGCACGATTTCGCGTGGTCTTTAGCGCCATCTTCGGGTTTACTGGTCGGCGACAATATCGGACAGACCGGTTTGCACTCGCACTCGCCGCAAGAACACACCTTGTCGTTATTCTCCGGTTCGGGTTCTTTTTTGTTTTTGCAATCTTCGCATTCGCATTTCGGCGTGCAATCGCACTCTCTGTTCTGCTTTTTTGGATCTTTGCATGGGTCGCACTTGCATACTTCACAATCGCACGGTCGCTGCGGGTTCGGCGGCGACCGCGTATTCAAAGCAATCGGGATCTTGGAGGAGCCCTTCGAACACGCGCACCGCACCGTCAGCACGTGGTACACCTGATTCTTCCCAGGCAACGGATACTCCTTCGTCTGCGCCAGCTTTTGCACGACCGGCATACACAAGCAGTCCAAACACGAGCAGTCATCCTCGTGCGGCTTCTTTTTCGAATGTATCTCGGAGTACGACTTTTGACGAGGTTTCTTAATCACTTTGGCGCCGCATTTCTTCGACACCTCCTCCATCACTTTCTCCAAAATTTGTTTATCGTTGCACGGGGCGCATATGCATTCCAAGCAGTCGCATTCGGGTGGATGAGGCTCCCTGCACTCCTCTAGCGGCGGTCGTTTGGCCAACCTCGTCGAGCCTTTGGACTTTCTTACAGCACTACACGAGGAACACTGACAGTCTTTGCTAAAGCATTTCTCGTCCTCGGCGGGTTCGTCATCACACGGGCGAGGCTTGCACACGCAAACGCCAACACAAACGCAATTCTTGTCTGTTTTAGGTTCGCTTGTCGTTCTTCTCCTATCCACCACGATCTCGGACTTTTTGCACGGGGTTTGCGACTGACTTTCCTTAACTTTTTTAGACCTCCTCTTCTTTTTACTGCCAACTGAACGAGATTTCATTTTTGGATACGTTTCTAAATCGTCAACATCGGTTTCTAAAACATAGTTATCACAACATGTATTTAAAAAAAACGCCTTGTTTACTTTGATCTCCTGTTAGGTTTGACGATGCACAAGCTTTGTCGGAGTAGTCTAAAACATTAACTTGTTTATCAATACTTCACTTTAAAAAGACAACTAATTTACCGTCCTGCGTGCAACTGTCTCTACTCTTCCTTCTCTTCTTTGCGCAAATCTTCTTGGGCACTTTTCGACTACTGCAAACTTTACGTTCGGAAACAGGTTCACAGGGTTGAGTTTCACTATTTCTAAATTCTTTAAATTCGGCCGTGCAAGAAACTTCTGTCAATAATTTAATTGGAATCGGAATCGAAGATTTTGGCAGACACACTTTCTTGGGTTTTACTGCAATAGTCATATGAGTTATTGAAAAATTAAACAAAATGTTTAGTAAATACATATATTATCCTTAATGCCCATGGTAAATTTAGGTGCTGATGATTTGGCGCCACATGGTAGAGGCTCTAAAAATAAATAAATTATTTTTAATTGTAGGTGTAGAGTCATTCCATGACAAACGATACTGAGTGTGAAAAAATAAATGTTCTTTTTGCATTACATCAGATGAATTTTGAAAGAAAACATTCCAAATTATAATGTGCGCCAAAAAAATTAGAAGAAACAGAATTTTTAGGTTCAAAATCTGTACTCAAGTAAACTGGCTGAATGACCATTGTGCTACGAAAAAAAATTATTGTCAATCTGTCTACCGTTTTGCCACATTGTGATTAAAGGTCATTTATAGTAGTATTGGTGGATTGCGTCACAGTCCAGAAAATTAGTGTAATAATATTTAATAAAAGTAAGGTTATGGTGGTAATGATTTAAAATACTAACTCATATCTGAGCATAAGACTAATTTGATGTTTTTTTCTTGATTAAAAACTGTAACACCCAAAACGTTACGGTGTATTGCTTGAAGAATGCAATAAGTATTATTTTTAAGGCTCTTTCGACGGCCACTAGCGCCGCCATCGGAAAAGCAGTCACACCTCTTTTAAAGAGATTTGACTGCTTTTCTGATGTTGAAGATCCTACCGAAATTTCGGTATTTCTACAGAAATGGCAACGGACCTTCCAAAATACTACGATTTTCGTCAACAGTTATGTTTCCACCGATTTTTTTTTACCGATTTTATTAATAATAATAATGTAATGTAACACCCGAAACAGAACCATGGTAACACCCGAAACAAAGTAAAATTTTATAAAAAAAAATAGTAAAACGTTATTTGTGACAGTGATTATGTGATACCTAGATGGTTAGTAAATATTATACTTTTGGAGGCCTGTAATTTTTAGGAATGTTTCCTTAAGAAAATTCACTGAATTTCAAATAAATCTAACAATGGTCAGGACATAGAGTCAAAATCGTGAAACACTCGAAACGCACACTCTTCGACTTATTAAATCATTATCCTATATGCTAAACTGTACTAATTTTATAATTTAGATAGAACAAGTAAAAACGTAGAGAATAATTTAATTGCTAAAATATTTTAAAATACATACAAATTTATACTTTGGTTGAACAAATGTAACACCCGAAACGATGGAATGACCCTGTACAATATTAATTATATAAATTAAAGTCTTACTAGTTTGAGTGCTTGCTTTTGAGCTCTCTCTTGAAGATTTTCCAGAACATGCTACATAAATGTTAAGTTAATAAAAAAATATAAAAGTGCGATTTGGTTTATTACCCATTATATCATATGCTATTTCGTTTAGAATACCTGGAAGATAGGAATGTTATAAGGGAAGTTAAAGTATGTAAATAAACCTTTAAGTTCTGAATTATCTAATTCATTATCAGTAGCTGATGTTGATGAGTAGCATATTTTTCCTAAAAAGAACATTTAAAAATTGTTAGCAAACGTAAAGGCGTTACCTTTAGTCTTGGTCGTGGTATCTGTGTCAGTAATTAGCGACTTATAAGCGGCGCATTCCACCAAATCCTTAGCGGTTAATTTTTGCGGTTGTTGTTCGCTGCGCATTTCTGTGGCGGTTTCTGTGATGCGCGGTGTGGACACACCAATGTTCCTACATTCGCGACATTGAAGAGATTGATCAAATTTCGCTGTCGATTGACAGACGCTGTCTCTTACTTGACGTTTCTCGGCCGCCTCCTCCAATCGAGCCTTCGTCCCGACAAACAACCAATAACAATATCGATACCACCCAGCAAACAAAACCAATACAAATACGTGAAAAACACGTTTTTTGGTTGATATTTAAAGGGGGTCTTTCCAACGTAAATAAAACGTGTATTAAACGAAACTTTGCAATATAAGTGCTTCATACACAAATTTATAAAGTACTATAAAGTAATTTACAACCAGTTTTTAATAAAATTAAATTATTTTGCATTTGCTATATTTTCCATTTTATAGTTTAGCAAAATGTATTAGAAAATTATCATAATATTACCCTTGTTTATCGCCATTATTATAGTGCCGTATAAAAGTGAAGTTGGTTTCGCAACTTTTCTGTTTTTTTTTGCATGCGTTTGTATACAAACGCATGCAAAAAAAAACAGACATTTAGTCCAGCTTGGATTTGAATAGACTTTAGTGTAATCTGCTTCCCTTAAGATGGTGTTCAAATAATTAAATTGGCACAAATAATAATAGTATACTATTATTATTTGTGCCAATTTAATTATTTGAACACCATCTTAAGGGAAGCAGATTACACTAAAGTCTATTCAAATCCAAGCTGGACTAAATGTAAACACAATGCTCCGAATCGACCAATAAGAGCTCACAATCCGAGTCACACCATCAGAATGGACCAATAGAAACGAGTTATCAGGCGTCTGGGCGTTTTTGTTTAGTCCAGCTTGGATTTTAATAGACTTTAGTTTACAGCCATTTTGCCCACCATGTCTCACTATTATTTTCTTGTGTAGTTTGGCTCACTAAACGCGAAAATCACACTTAAAGTTTTTTTCAAGGAAGCGTTTTCGAGATATGAATTATCAATTGTTTTTTTTAATTTTCTGAGATGTTTTGGCGTTTTAGAGTATACTTGATCGATTTGACCAAACAAGCACTTAAAACAAAGGTAATTGTGCCCTCTACAACTTTCTTTTGTATAGTTTTGGTATCGGCTCAGTAGTTCGATACTGGCGATTTTATGAAGTTGAAAAAGTCCTTTTTTACAAAAATCGAGGTCGAAAGTTTACATATCTTCCTGGGAAAGATAGGAATCGAAAAGATAAGTCCACTTTGATTTATTTTACGTATACATTATATTTACAGGAAAAAAATAAGCTGCTGTTGATAAAAATCCACGGATAAATGGCGAAGTTATGAATTTTTCAGTCGAAGACCAAAATTCAGTTTTTCATTTTGTTGAAATATAAAATTTAATATTGAACATTGATTTTTATTTTAAACATTAAATATTGTCATTAAAGTTTTATTTTGTAGTAATAAGCATAGGTTAAAAAAATTCTGGCTCCTTTGTTTTTTATTGCTTTCGTATTTCGTTTCTCGTATGAGGGACCAAATGTAATCACCCATCATGTCTTCATCCCAGAGGCCGTGATACCGCCGCGCTATAGCCTTCATTTGCTGGTGAAAACGTTCTCTGTGCTCATCACTTACGTCGCCCAGATTGTCCGGGTTATTTACGCACTCGAAATCTCTACTTCTTTTACTCATTTTACACTTTTTATTAAATAAATAAAACCATGATATATTTTTATCATGGTTTTATTTTTAAATATCAAAAAATATCAGTAAAATGTCACTATGGCAACACGAGAAACAAAGGAATTCACGTTTGCGGAATCATGTTAAATTTAAATTTGAATAATGTTTTCGTTGACAAAAATACGTAAAAACTTAAAAAATTCCAATCATGCACTTTAATTAGGTTTTCATTAAAGAATAAACATATTACAAAAATAAAAAAAATAAAAGAAAAATCGTCAAAAAGCTGAATTTTGGTCTTTCTTCTTCGCCATTTTTCTATGTATTAATAAAAACAAGCCTAATGTTGATCAAAATTTTGATCAACATTAGCTTGTTTTTTTAGTAAAAATGTTAGCTTCGTTTAAAAAAAATCAAACTGGAGTTATCTGTTTGATTTAAACCTTTCCCAGGACGATATGTAAATTTTCGACCTCAATTTTTGCTATAAAAACGAATTTTTTAAGTTATTAAAATCGCTAGAGTCAAAATACTTATCCGATATCAAAAGTATGTAAAAGAAAGTTTTAGAGGGCTCAAATACCTTCAATTTAAGGGGTTGTTTGACCAAATCGATTAATTAGAATTCAAGCTATACTCAAAAACGTCAAAACACCTCCGAAAACTGAAAAAAAACAATTGAAAATTCATATTTCAAAAACGCTTCTATAAAAAAAATTTGGTGTGATTTTTGTGTTTAGTGGGTCAAAATACATGGGAAAATTATAATGGGATATGGTGGGCAGATTTTTTTTCGATTTTGTAAACTAGTGTTATTAATGTAAGATATTTAGCATTTTATCTTTGAGTTATCGGTAGCAAAATGGCGGTAGATGGTATGTGTGCAGTTGTAGTTTTCTAACTTTGTTTTGTGGATTGTGGATTTGTGGATTTTGCGTAGTATAAGCTTGTGGAATGTAATTTTGTGGTAATGTAGAAATAAATGTTTTAGTTTTGAACAATAGTGGTTATTATTTCGTAATCCCAAAAACGGAAACAATTCGCCCAGAAGGTGACGTAAATATTACGCCATAAAAAGACGTCGAAATTTCGTCCCCAAAACACGTCTATAAACTGTGACATTTCAACCAAAATTTCACGTAACTCAAACACGTCTTTTGGGTATAAATCGACTAATTTTTCACGTGATTTTGTTTGCTGGGCAATAAGTATAATAAAGTTACCTGTACTGCCGCGCAGACCTTCTTCTTTTCAACAACCTCGGTTATTACGACATCCCCTTGGTCCAAGCTTTCTCCTGTCACCGAAGGTATCGTGGAGATTTCTTCTTCAAACTCCCCTTCATCCTCCGGTAAAGTCGTATCGTCCAAATAACCCTCCTCGCTCGTTATATCAAATACAGGGCCCAATTCTTCAATATATTCAGTTTCTTCGCCCATTTCTCCTTCATCGAAACCGTAATCAATAGTTTCTTCATCTTCTTCCGCTTCTACAGTAACCGCCAAAGCGGCTGCTCCTTCATCATCACGATCCTCACCTTCGTCTTTAAACTCTTCGATTTCTTCAGTTGGTTCGAATTCTTCTGTAGGCGCTTCCGCTTCACTTTCTTTAGCGACAACCTCAACATCCGTTTCCGTTGCAGATAAATCTTCTTCGAGTGCTGATATTTCTTCTTCCTCAATAGCTACATCCGCAACTTCTTCAACATGTTCTTCCTCCTCTGGTACTTCTTCTTCCTCCTCTACTAAAGTCTGCGTGGACATTAATTGGGTGCTGGGTAGTGCCTCAACTTCCACGTGCACTTTTTCTTCTTCTTGAGCATCTTCAAATACCTCTTCGGACGGGGCTGCTTCTGGTTCCTCCATCACCTCCACGGGTTCCGCTTTTTCAACGCTCGGCTCCTTTTCAACGCTCGGCTCTTTTTCAACGACTGGTTCTGGTTCGAAAACTTGTTCCACCACCTCCTCGTGGTTAATACTGGGTTCTTTTTCGATGATGCTAGATTCCTTCTTAATCTCTTCTGCTTGGACAACTATTTCCTCCTCGGGTATAACACTGGGCTCTTTTTCGATAACGCTCGGTTCTTTCTTAATTTCTTCTGGTACCTCTTCCACGTGGATTTCACTGGGTTCTTTTTCGGCGATAATGATGCTCGGTTCTTTTGCTATGATGCTCGGTTCTTTTGCTATGATGCTCGGTTCTTTTGCTATGATGCTCGGTTCTTTTGCTATGATGCTAGGTTCCTTTGCTATGATGCTAGGTTCTTTCTTAATCTCCACTGGCTCAGGGACAGGTTCCTCCACCTTAGGTATAATACTTGAGACTTTTTTAATAATGCTAGATTCTTTCTTAATCTCTGGCTCGCTAACTTTCTCAATCTTATGTATAACACTTGGTTCTTTTTTAATGACGCTTGGTTCCTTCTTAATCTCTGGTTGGATAACACTAGATGCCTTTTTAATGATGCTAGGTTCTCTTTTAACCTCCACTGGTTCGGGAGCAGGTTCCACTACCGGTTTTTCTTTGACAATGCTCGGTTCTCTACTAACTTCTTTTGGTGCTTCAACAACAATTTTGCTTGGTTCTTCTATATGCGCAACGTGTACAGCCTGTTCGACTTCAACTTTTTGAATCTCGCTCGGTTCTTTTGCTATGTGTACAACCTCGGCAATGCTCGGTTCTCTTTTATGTTCACTTGGAGCCTCTTCTATTACGCTTGGTTCTTTCTTTACAGGTTCAATAGGAGCAGGTTCGACTTTGGTCACTTCTTCTATTGCATGTTCAACGATTTCTACAATTTCTGCCTGGATTTCTTCTGGTATTACTTCTTCAACCTTTACTTCTTCTACTTCTGGAACCTCTTCTTCAACCTTTACTTCTACTTCTGGAACTTCTTCTTCAACCTCTTCTTCTACTGCTATAACTTCTTCAACCTTTACTTCTACTTCTGGAACAACTTCTTCAACCTTTACTTTTACTTCTGGAACTTTTTCTTCAACCTTTACTTCTACTTCTGGAATTTTTTCAACTTTACGAGGTTCTTCCTTAATTACACTTGGTACTTTGGGGACAGCTTTAATTTTAGGTTCCGATGGAACCGCCAACTCATCGCATATAGCGGCTTGTTCCTCGCAGTCGCAAATACGTGTGGGCTTCACACCTACACCTTTATGATCGATTTGGGATTTGCTTCCTCCCACGCTAGCGTCTTGACTTAATCTTTTTGGTGCAATTTTGACTTTGTCTCTTGCTTCATGGCATGGGCATGTATCGCTGAACGGAACCCCATCTATGCCCAACAATCTTCCTGAGGGAGAATATTTTGGTTTTCCAGCACCAAGGGATCCAGCCATGCTAGCACTGTCCAAAATTTCCGTTATTACTTCGATGTTGCCGTCAGAGGTGTACACTAAAGTGGTTTCTATTATTCCATTGGGACCTTCTGTGATAACCTAAAGATTTAAATAAGCATACAGAAAAAGCCTGGTTTTCGACAAATGTTACCTCTAGAGTTCCTGAATCTGTAATGGTCGTGGTTACATTTAAATCGTCGCGATGCCCATCACCTCCAAGAGGTAGCAAGTCGGTGTGAACTTCGAAAGGAAAATCGGCGGGCGTATCAAAAATACCAAGATTCCTATTTTGACGAGCGCCAGGTCCACCTACTGCGTCTTCACCTTGCTGGGTACCATGTGGCCCAGCCGACATTAAAAATGCGTTTTTGTGAACGGGACATGTGTTTAAGCAGGTACCCGGGGCGCTTTCGGTTCCAGTCGTATTTTGATATGCTGGACAATCCAGTAAACAGGTTGGAGCCGACGAAGTTGGCTCATTGGAATCTGTAGGTTTTGAATCTGCAGTTTGGAAATAAGGATTCATTATACATATTAAAAAACGTTACTTGAAAAAGTCAACTTTGGTGATGTTACACAAATATTAGATATATTCCCCAACACCAAAACAAAACACAAAGTGCTTAAAGTACTTTTCGCCAACTAATGTGATGAAACGAATAGTATTCCCTCTATTAAATTCACCTTTGAATTGGAAAAAGATGGCCAGCTACCATTTTTATATAACCTAGTGATTAGATCTAACAACACTCTAGAGTTCGATATCTACAAAAAACCACAAACAGTGTACATCACACTCAAACCACTGCACACAACTTATGCAGGCATTTTTTAACTTCCTTGTTCATAGGTTGGTAAACTTTCCACTTAGTAACAGTAGATACAAAAAAGAGTTCAGTTTTATAAAAACCATTGCTTACAGTGATCCTGAACGAGTCATAGGTCACATAAAAATGACGCCAAAAACTGACTGCAGTATTGGAATAAGGATGTCCTCTAAAGTTTAAAAATATGTTTTTCAAAATTGTAGCTGTTCCTTTTTTGAAGTTTTGCTTAATAATCCAAATATCAAACGTCATTTGGTGATTTATTTTAGGTTTTTACTATTATCTTTAAAACGGAGGCCTTTGGAAAAAATGTTTGAATAAGGAAATAAAGTTGACTTAATTATTTATTAAATCATGCCTTCATAATTATGCCTAAACTATTGGCATACGAAATCGATGGACTTAGTCGTGAATATTTTATTTTTAACTGGGTATGTTTTATTTTTTTGTAAATAACCTGCCATAGGATACTTTCAACATTGCAGCATCATTTTTCTTTAAAGAAATATAACCTATATAAAACAAAAAAGACAAGTACCTAGTTAATAATTGTCAAATATTATTCTAATGTTATCAACATGAGAAAAATCATTAAAAGTTGTAGTTTCCATCAATAAATACTTGATGGAAACTCATTCTTCCAAGTGATTAATTAATACATGAATTTTTAAAGTTTGAGATATATCAGCAACTTTAAACATAAATACTAATGTTAGTATGTGCATTTTTATTTATTCCAAATTTGGCGTTTTGGTGGAAAAATAATTCTCAACTAATTTATTCATAGTCTTAAATTGGGACAAGTATGGTAAAATGACCAAAGAACTAACAGTTTTCAAAAAATCTTTTGTAAGAAGAGTGTCAGGATGTTTCAGAAGCGATTAACATGCATTTCCCTTAAATATGTCACCTTGGTAGTTCTTCCAAATTCAGTGTTTTAGGCCATCTCAACGCTTGTTCTTTTCTCAGAAGTTTCACTAGTCCGTTCCAAAATACATAGGCAAAAGTGTTGCCTGGCAAAGGTGATGGCTTACTAGATTTTTTTATTTATTCCTTGTTGGCAATTTAATGTAAGCAACTGATGGTAGTATTATTGATTGAGCGTATACCTCAACTACTGAACATACATTACTTAGGTACTCAATTTATTTAAGGGTCCTGCTTTTCTTAAATACATAGTTTTTTTAATAGATAAACCATTTACTGTTGTCCTTTTCTTTTTTTGTGAAATATGGTTTCGGCGATTAATGTGCAAAAACGTCAAGTTTTTAAACATTTTGTATATAAAATAAATTATATCTACGCTAATGGTTGCGGTTGTTGAAGCATCATTTAATTGATAATTTTGACGTCTTTAATTCTCTACTATAAATTTTTTTCCTAAAGGACTCAGTTTTAAAGAAATTCGCAAATAATCTTAAATAAGTCACTAAATTACGGTTGGTATTTTAATTAACTTCCAAAATTAAAAAAAAGGATCAATTTTGAAAAACATGTTTTTAAACTCTAGAGAGGGTCATTTTTATGTGACCTATGACTCATTCAGGACCCCTGTGTTGCCCAATATATACTTGATGATGAATAGAATTTGACAACCTTAAACTTATTAAGGAGGTCAGGGAAACAAGTCTGCTGAATAGTTATGAAAGTTTATACTTTTATAAGGATAGAAATAAGTCTTTAAATAGCGATAAAGGACCGGTACCCAAATCTAGTTTGTATGAATTAGTTTGTTACTTTCTCTTTACGTGTTCACTGAAGCAGTTACGGTCCACGGTTTAGTAAACTGTGTTCAGTTCAGTCAACCTTAGGTTTAAATTAGTATAAATATGGTAGATTTAGTTACACTTCGCTTCTGAAGATGCCAACATCGTTGTCGAAAAGTACTTTTAGTACTTGTGTTTTGTTTTGGTGTTGGGGAATATTTCTAATATCTGATTAAAAAAAGTATTATTTACCAAATTGGTTATCAGTGGTGGAACCAGAAGGAAACGTACTGTCCATCTCTGATGTAGGATCATCCTTTCTCGAGGTGGTTATTCCAGTATTTGAAAGATTTTTATCTTTTCCGGTCTGGGGGTTTAGTTCTTTGCATGTAGAATCGTCGCAACCTTCACTTTGGGTCTTTGGTAATTTTTTATTTTTTTCTCCGCTCTTGGCGTTTAGATCGTCACATGTAGAATTATCGCAGCCTTCACTTTGATCTCGGGTCTTAGGTGGTTCTTCCCTTATAATCAAAGGTACCGTTTCCACAACATTAACACCGACATCTTGACAATCACTCTCTCGTCTTTTTTTTTTGGGTTCGCCATCACTTTTTTTGGGCTTTTTTATTTTATCGCAAGTGGCATCGTCGCATGATTTTCCTACCTTATCACATGGATCCGGTAATACACTCCTAACTTCTTGCTCCTGGCCGCAGGCGCAATTGGTTTCGTGTTTAAACGGCCTTCCTTCCCGCTTGGCCGCTTCAAACTCCTTTACAACATCAGCACAAGTGCAGTCATCATCCTTAACATTTGGTTTCTTACTGTAACTATCACCAGCGCCACAATCCTGCGTGCCCAGCATTTGGGTGGCGTTATCCTCGACGCCGACGCACTGACAAGCCTGGTTCTTCGACCTACTCTTTCTTCCTTTCTTCGGTTTCTTCGATTTCTCGCACTTGCATTTGTTACGCCCGGATTTCTTCTTCTTCTCCTTCCTCTGCATAACTTGTTGGTCCACCAAGTCGGTCAAGTCTTTGATGTACTTGCAAGCCCCCGTTATCTCCGGCGGTATGTTGGCGCAATCCGCGCATGGTTCGCTTAGTTTGATGGTTTCGCTCAACTTTCTCGCTATTACGTGGAGGTTTTCTTCGCAAATGAATTCATCGCTCGTTATGCATCTGCAAGCTTCGGCACTACTGCCTTTTTGTTGTTTCTTAAAAGTAGATTTATTTTAAATCGTTATTTTAAAATTTACTTATATAATTACTGTAATGGTTCCGTACTTTGATACGCTTTACAAATTTATTTTTTAATATGTTTGTAGTTTCTAAATTATCGTGTCATAGGGAAAAATCTTTGCAAAAGAGGTAAAAAGGGACACTTAGGTAAAGAAATTACAAGTTTTTCGAACTTTGCCCAAAAATCTGGTATCCAGATGATACAAGATACGATGGTCCAGGTACACGAAGCGAGTAAAGGGAAGCAAAAAAAACAGTCAGAAAGTATTTGTAAATGTTTGCTAAAAGGAAATTTATTGTAAAAGTTCTGTTTAAATAATTGTTACAAGTGTTTGTGTATTTTCCTAGGTTAGTTCGTAATATTAGTAGCCCAAATTATGTAGTAAAGACCACTAAACGTAAAACGATTCAGATTTAAGTTAATTGAGCATTAGTTATTTTGCACTACCATGGTTAGCGGATTTTACTCGATATAAACCACTTTTCTTTTAGCTATTTTTACAAAATGTTCTTGGCTTTAAGTTAATTTAGTTGTACACTGTCTCTGCAGGGCTGGATGCTCCCGTGTACGAGTTTTGGTTCGTGCCGCGCATGACGTCACTTGATGAGTAGTTGCCGTGCGAATACACGAATAATAGTAATATTATCAAAGAAAATAGAGAAATATCTGGACATAGTGCGTTTTTATTAAACTAAATATTGAAGAAAGTGTTATAATATGGATAATAAATGCTTTTAGTTCTTGATAACATTTAGGGCTGTAGTTTAAGCGTTGGTGTTTTAAATTAAACTTATAGTCACTGTCCAGAAAATGTTTATAGGAAACAGAAGCGGTCTTAACATTAATATTGTCTATTATTTTTGTGGCATTTAATCACTGTTTGCACAAATCAAAGTTTTTCGGGAATCGATTAAATTTATTGTTTTTATTTAAAGGGCAAATCAAGTTAACGCAAGACAAAAACAATAATAAATAAACAGGTTAACACAACGCAATAACAATAATTTGAACACTGAAAAGTAATTCGAACCTTACCGAACGCAAAAACAACAAGTTAAACAAAAAATAGAGCAAGTAACATCCAACAGCATCGCAAAAACAAGAATTTTATCAGCAGATAATTAAAAAGCACGTTAAAGATTTAAAAACACTCATCAAGTGACGTATTTAAGCCCCTACCATATTAAGGTGTATGTATCTTGCTGTCCCTGTAACTTAAAGGTTTAGACCTTCCCTAACACGATATACATTTTTTTGTGGTCATTTTAAAACAAATAACGGTGTGATACGATTTGTTGCTTAAAAGGGAGTATTGACCGTTAATTTTAAACTTTGATAGGTACTAAAATGCTCCACACCGTGAGGGATAACTGGTCACCTAGGTTCTCTAGGTGGCATCGCAACTTTTCTCCCGAACCTTCATCTTTAGGCGAGTTGTTTCCAGTGTGGACCTCGTTCCCCACAGGGCAACGTTTACGTTGACAGACTAACTGTTAACTGCGCTGTTAACTAACAACGTTTTTCCTATTTTTACTGTAGGGGTTAGATAAAGTAACGAGCGTTGCGTCATCACATTGATTTGCATAAACTTTTTAAGATAACTCTTATCCTGGTGCAAGGATTGCAGCTGATGAAGCTGATAGGACCGGAACCCACATGCGACACCAGCCAAAAATCGTCCAGGAAAAAACCAATTGAATGGACAGAACTACAGCACAAACAATACTGGCATAGCCTGTCTGGTCTGGATCATTCGAAAGCACTTTTGGACAATCCATCTGCAAAGGGCAGAAATCAATGAGGACATACCCAGGGCCCAACTAAAGAGAGCATTATGCCTTTTCACAGGCTATGCTCCTTTCAAAAATGACCCATTGTGCAGAGGATGCAAAGATGAAGAGGAAACACTTCTTCACATTATGTGTCAATGTGAGGGATTTGACACCTTAAGAAGAACACATCTGGGAAAGTCTAAACTCACACCAGAACTTTTAAAATTGCTCCCACTGGCTCGGCTACTGCGCTTCATAGAAGCAACGGAGCTAGAGCTATGGAAGTAATAAAATTTAGGGCACAATAGGAGTTTTAGTGGGTATACGTCAGTAGACGGAGTCCCACACTACTACGACCCCAAAAGAAACCGAGTGTTCGTAAAGAATTTCTTTGCCGGCCAAAGAAAAAAAAATCTCCCTAAGAGCCACCCCTTGCTTATCGTAAACCGTTTGTAAAGTAAATTAAATTGGGGTAAACTAAACACTGTATTATATTTTTTGTATACCTAATTCTCCCAAGTATGATTACTAAAGCAATGTTTTTAATAAAACAAGTAAGTAAACAACACGTAGAGGTCCAAATTTGGAAGACGATCACAAGCTAAAGTCAAAAAATAGTTCATTTATTAATTTTTCATAAAACTTGTTCTAAACGAAGCGTAAGGAGAAAGCTTAACATTACCTTTGCCATTATTTGAATTGTCTCAGCTTCAAGCATTTTTTGTTTGACTAAATCGTCCTCCAATTGCTCACACATGGCATTCAAGGAACATAGCTCCTCTTGAAGCTTTTTATTGACGTCGTTTAACTCATCGACGTTACCCGAGCAAGTGCACAGCTCCATTTTCAGCTCGACGATCTCCTTCTCCTTAGTTTTCTCCTTAGTCTTCATACACTCCTTGGTTTTCTCCAATTCTTCCTCCAACTTTAAGTACCTACACTGTTCTTTAAGCAGCTTATGTTGCATTGGTCCTTGGACTGTCTCCATAGCCTGTTTTAATTCCAACCTTAAATCTTCAAGCTCGTTTCTGAGCAGCAAATTCTCCATTTTTAGGTCCTTGCTGAGTTTTTCGATGCTGATTTGGCCTTTACCGCCAGCACACGTGCAACTTTCCACCATTTGTTGAAAATTGCTCATATCGTCGCAGTAATTCGCATTTTTTTGCTGCAAGTTGGCCATTTGGTTCTGCAAGTTTTTTTGTTTGCTTTGCACGAGGTCTATGTCGCAGTCATCGGTTTCTTCTTCTTTGGGTTTGTTTGGGCAATCGGGTATGGTGCAGGTTTGGGAGCTTGGAGACTCTAAATGGGTATTGGTATTTAAAAAAATAATAATAAATATTTTGCATACCATTGCCTCTTAGGAATGAATAACCTCTAGCTGAGCTCTTTTTATTTTGTTCTGTAAAAGAAAATAATAAATATGTTTTATTTTTGTTACCAAGTAGGTACACCTTTTGTGGGGCACATAGGATTCGCACAATTTTTAGAAACAACAGTTCCACCACCTGGTATCTCTTGAAACACTTTTTTATTCGGACAATTCTCGTTTGGACACTCTGGTTTATTTTTCTGTATTTTTCTGGCTGAACAAGTCCTTTTTGGTTCTAAAAAAGCACATTAAAAAAAGATCATCAATGTACGGAAAACTTACCAGGAGCAGGCAATGGTAGACATTTATTTTTAACTTGCTCTTTGGTTGTTTTTACTGAACATCGTCCAGATTTTTCTGATGAAATAAATTTATAAATGGAAAATATTATAGTTTTATTTAGTATTACCTGGATTTTTAGTTTTAAACGAATACACATTCTCTTTGAAAATTTTTTGTTTGGCGCATTTTTTCTTTGATGAAACTGAATCTTCATCACTAGGGCACGGATTGTCAGTAGAGTCATAGCTAGGTCTCATCGATGAGGGATCGCTCGATGAAGGAAAACTGGATAAGTTTGCATTTGTCTAAGTCAGAAAAATTATTAAAATTAACAAAACCTGAAGTTTATTGTATTTACCGAAGGATTATTTTTACTTTTACATTTACATCTGGAAGATGAACTCCTCAACTTTAAACTTTCAGGAGTAGCGTCATCATCGCATGTTTCCGTTACAAAACTAATGGCTTTGATTTTTTTACACTGGCAAGAAGAATTGTTACGACAAACCGTAGACTCTGCAATAGTAGACAATGAAAATATTATGTTGGGCTATAAATTTCTTTTAAAAAACCTGAAGATCGATCAGTACACATTCCCGTTGATGTCGATTCAGCAACCTGGATTTCTTTACACAAATTTTCCACAGTTCCTACACTAACTGAAGAACTCATTTTTAAACCACCACTTGATGATTTGCAACCGCATTTTTTTGTAGGTGGACAATCATCAATTGATTTTCTTGACGAATTTTCCTTACATTTAATAGCACTACATTTATTCGAGTTTATATTTTTGTCACTTAATTTTCTTTCATCCATTGATTTTCTTGATGAATTTTCTTTACAATTTATAGCACTACATTTATTCGTGTTTATATTTTTGTCACTAAATTTTCTTTCATCCATTGATTTTCTTGATGAATTTTCTTTACAATTAATAGTACTACATCTATTCGAGTTTATATTTTTGTCACTAAATTTTCTTTCATCCATTGATTTTCTTGATGATTTTTTTTTACAATTAATACCACTACATTTATTGGAATTTATGTTTTTTTCATCACATTTTCTTTCAGGTGGACAATCATTAACTACATTTCTTGATGACTTATCCTTACAATACGTAGGGCTACATTTTTTCTTGGAATTTAAAGCTTTGTCGTCACACTTTTCCTCTATATCATTTGTACACTCCGGAGGACATTGGGCATCACCACCAGGTTTCATTTGTCCGCAAATAGCGAACAGTTTTTCCTTCAAACTTCTTTTGCTCCCCACATCGCCGGAACTGCATCTTTCGTCGCAAGACATTTCCGACTCGCTCGAACAATCGTTCTCCTGATCTTTGAAAACGTTCGGTTGGTTATAGCAACTTTCGTTGCCGCTTTCAACAGTGGTGTCTTGATCCGGTCCGCAATCTTGCGACGGGCTAGCGTATGCCAGGCACATAGAACAACTGCACATCAGATTCGGTAAATCAAGTGGACCTTTGTCTCCAGAAGACTCCTTAAAATTGTTTGGTTAGGTTTAAGGCAGGATAACTTTTTTGCTTTAAAAGGTATTAAATTCCACAAAATCGGATTATTTTATGTTCTTTAAAAATATGTTTTAAGAATGTATAAAATGGTTTTCGAGATATATCTACATATACAGGGTGTCCCAAAAGTCAACGATGTCCTTTGGATGAATGATGGACCAACCCATGACCAACCAGAAAATCAAAACATGACCTTAGTAAACAATCGTTAGTTTTTGAGATATAGTCATTTTTATGAATTTTGTAAAACTTGACACCTTATATCAGTTTTTCGAGTGCCCCAGCTACAAAATTCCATATTTTTAGATTATATTTTATGTTGTGCAATCCTAAAAATGCCTGCTATTGATTACAGTTCAAAATAAAACTAATAGCAGTTTTTTGCCCGATTTTATAAGTTTTTTTATTAGCTAAGTTCAGGCTGTAAAAAAAAATGTCACGCAAACTTAGCAAGTATTTTAAAAATTGCTAATTTAGTGTAATATTCCATGTTATACTTTAAAGAAAAAGAAATTGTTGTTTTACTGCAAAACGAGTTTATTGCTAAATTATTTCAATTTTTAAGGAATTTAAACAAAAACACTTCTTTAATGAAAATAACAGATATTTAATTAAAAACAAACGAATCACAAATAAAAATTAAAGAATGTGTTCAAAATGCCTGCCAGCAAGTCGAATGCAAGCGCGGCATCTTTCTAAAAATGATCGTTTTATCTGTCTTGCACTTTCTGCGTCTTTTATTTGTTGTGCGGCTTCATTAATTTGGTCTCCCAATTAATGTACGTTATGAATTACTATTCCATAGACTTTTTCCTTTATGCAACCCCAGTAAAAAAAATCGAGAGGATTTAAATCCGGAGACCGGGGAGGCCACAAAATGGGACCAAGACGGCCGATCCAACTCTCTGCATAAACCTGATCCAAATAATTTCTTAGTTCCCGTGCGTAATGAGCTGGACAACCATCATGTTGAAGCCACATTGCCCTGCGTGTGGCGACAGGCACATCATCCAAAAGATTTGTCAGTTCGTTTTCCAAAAACTCTTGATAATTTTCCCCACTTAAATTTTTAGGTAATTCAAAGGGACCGATTATTTGGCCGTTCAAGATGCCGGTCCACAAATTCACTTTAAAGCGATACTGTGACCTTTCTTCTCGAATTAAATGTGGATTTTCAAGTGCATAATAATGAAGATTATGCATGTTCATAAAACGAGTTCTTTTCATAGAGTAATAAAGGGTGTCTTAATAGGATATATTAATTAGGTACCTTAAAAATTTGAAAATAATTTATATTTTTATTTCAACATAAAGTACACATTTTCCGATAATGCATGAAACAAAATATCCGACAACTGCCCACCCCAAAGATAATGTATTTCTTTTCTTTTTTAAGGAAATTTGTTTATAACATCCTCGCATTATGCGAGTCGCATATGTTCTGCTGAATTTCGCCAATAACGCGTAGAATATCGTCTATAATAAAGTTGAGGAATTGTTGCTGGTTTGTTGACCAAAATTCTACAATTTTGTTTGTTCAGATGAAAGTGCGCTTCACAAACAAAATTGCCTTTGCACATTCAACATGTTGTTGCCTTGCCAGAATGCAATGAACAAATTCCCAGGGCATTGCATGAACTACTGGGATTAGCTCCTGTGTTAGTTGAATTTTGTAATGAAAGAAAATCATTTGATAAAATTTGCTGTAAACTGCTACTCAAAATAGAAACTTGTTGGGAACGATGACGAATCGAGGTTCCAGGATTCTTGGTAACACTTTTCTGTACTGTTGCAATATTTTCAGCAGATCGGCTGGTACGACGACGCACAGGTATTTTTATGTCCCCAACCGAACCACTTTCCTCAAATTTAATCACGAACCTTCGCAATGTCGTCTAATTTGGAGCATTAGCACGACAAAAATTGGACGTAATTTTCGAACGGTTTGTGCATAGCAATCTCCATATTTATAATGAGTCTTAAGAGTAGTAGGTAACAGGTTGTTTTAGAGAATACCGCTTTATGACTTATAAAATCGGAATGTTTTTACATTACAGAAATTATATTTTCAAGGTTGAACTTTGCAAAAAATAGAAACATGGCGAAATATAAATTCGGCGTTCCTATTGAAACACCCTTTATAAACAACTTTTTGACTTTTTGATGTGAAACTTTTTTGCCGAGGGTAAACCAAAACCATAAAGATAGAACGCAGTACGAAAGGGGACATCCATTAGTTACGTGAGACAAAAATAGGGGGGTCATTTAAAATCTCACGTCAACTTTTGAGTTTAAAAACTATGTATTATAATTCAAATTTGTTAAAAAATTAATCATTTTTTTGAAAATTTAATTGCTTAAATCTCACGTGAGGGATAGGAGGTCTACCACATCTCAACAAATCTCACCAAGGGGGAGGGGGGACCAAATTATCAGAAAAATGCCTCACGTAATTAATGGATGTCCCCAACGATGAAACGCACATGTACAGTAGCAAGGGCGTCGATAATTTTTTCTTTTGGGGGGGCTAACATAAAAGAAAAATAATTTTTCAAAACTATTTGCTTTTGTATATTGGGGAAAAGGATTATAAGGTACCAAAACTAAAGTAATTTCTTTCTTAGGACTTCTATCTTGGGGGTGATAACCCCCCCATTACCCCCCCCTTATCGACGCCCTTGCACAGTAGTTCAAAATTAAAAAATAGTGGGAAGAAGTCGCAGTGGCATGAAAATTAAAAATTGTCAAAACTTTTAAAATTTCCAATGTTTTTAAAGTTTACAGACATTACTCATTTTTGACATCTGTCATAGCCCATTTTAGACATCTATCTATCTTAATGATCAATAAACTACTATTACTATTACTATTACTATTACTATTAATAACAGATGTCAAAAATGACATATGTATAAAATGACGAATTTTTAATATAACACATGTTAAAAATCACAGACGTCAAATATGACAGATGTTAAAAATGACAGACGTCAATATGACAGATCTTAAAAATGATCATTTTTATCCTGTTTTCACGATAACAAAGTCGATCCTGTTCTCATGATTAAATAGGATCGAGTTTTAAAACTCGATCATTTGTCGCTCAGTTTTTTTTAGCAGCCTCTAGAGGATATATAGCAATGTTAAACTGATATAGTAAAATGTATTGTTTATGTTAAAAGCATTTTTTTGCTCGACCAAGCCTTTTTTTAAACGAAATGACATTAAAACTATAGAAACGATAGAATTTTTGCAAATTTGCGAATTCTAAAAAATGGCCAAGGAAAATTTGTCTTGGAATTTCAAGGGGAATTTACCTTTACACTTTGGGGCGCTAATTTTTAGACACCCTGTATACCTATATAAAATGTGAACTATGTCAAACTAAGTATACTTAAATATATGTATATAAATACTTAATTTAAACAGTGGCGGCTGGTGGATTTTATGTATACCAATATCTCAGTTATTAGACATGGGACCCAGTGGCGGATTGGGGATTTTGGGTATACCAATATCTCAGTTATTAGACATGGGACCCACACCAAATTTATAATAGTTTATTATGACATTAAATAGACAAGTTCGGCGCAAACAGAATTTAAATTGAAGTTTGCGAAAAAAAGTTAGTTTTTTGTGTCGCCTCACCTGGCTTCTGCCCCCCCCCCCCATTTGAGATAATTCAAATTAAAGTTGTGCAATTTATACTTCACTATAATTTATCGGTAAATTTAAAATTTTATTTGAAAAATCCATATATTACAGATTTTATACCATATTAAATATTTTTTTATTATAATAAAATAAATAATAAAAATTTAAAATCGTATAAAATCTGTAATATTTGGATTTTTCAAATAAAATTTTAAATTCACCGATAAATTATGGTGAAGTATAAATTGCACAACTTTAATTTGAATTATCTCAAATGGGGGGTCAGAAGCCAGGTGAGGCGACACAAAAAACTAACTTTTTTTCGCAAACTTCAATTTAAATTCTGTTTGCGCCGAACTTGTCTATTTAATGTCATAATAAACTATTATAAATTTGGTGTGGGTCCCATGTCTAATAACTGAGATATTAATATCTATACCAATTGGTATACCCAAAATCCCCAATCCGCCACTGATGGGACCCACACCAATTTTATAATAGTTTATAATTAAATTAAAATATAAGTTCGGCGCAAACAAAATTTAAATTGAAGTTTGCGAAAAAAAGTTAGTTTTTCCTGTCGCCTCACCCGCCTCCAGGCCCCCCTATTTAAGATAATTCAAATTAAAGTGGTGCAATTTATTATCTACTATAATTTATCGACAAATTTAAAATTTTATTTAAAAAATCCAAATAATACAGGTTTTATACCATTTTAAATATTTTTAATAAAATAAATAATAAAAATTTTAAATCGAATAAAATCTGTAATATTTGGATTTTTGAAATAAAATTTTAAATTTTTCGATAAATTATATATAGTAGATAATAAATTGCGCCACTTTAATTTAAATTATCTCAAATAGGGGGGCCTGGAGGCGGGTGAGGCGACAGGAAAAACTAACTTTTTTTCGCAAACTTCAATTTAAATTTTGTTTGAGCCGAACTTAAGTTCAACAATTGTTTATTTAATGTAATTATAAACTATTATAAAATTGGTGTGGGTCCCATGTCTAATATCTGAGGTATTGGTATAAATAAAATCCACCAGCCGCCACTGAATTCAAGCATTGTATTTTTTTGAATATATAGGACCTAGGTAAATTTTAAACTAAATTAGAGGTTTGTAACAATTGAGTTATCCTTCTTTGTCTCTGGAGTTATCTAAAAAATAATTATAGTGGGGGCAGTTTTACCTGAAACGAAGCATTAGCAAACTGCGTTTCAATTCTCTTCTTATTAGGCTGTTCATTTTCATTTTCGCATTGGCAATCAACATCGCTTTTTATACTGGACTTTCTCGACAACATGGACTTGGCGTTGTCCATTAACTTATTTAAAAAGCTGCACAACGGTGGAGTGGACTGGGACCTGGGACATTGCGGCTGCGGCTTGGTCGGGACATCACGTTCGGGACATTCATCGTTAAAAGAAAACACTTTTGGGACCGTGCGGTACTCGTTCGTTGGTTCGACGATGTCGCACGAACATTCCGAATAGCTGGTTTTCACGGGGTTGGTATTGCTGTCGAAAATCGCATCTTGCTGCTGACTTTCACCGTTGTGGCACGATCTTGCAGCTAGAATTGATTCTAGCACTGAGATGCGTTCTTCCAAGTTCGGTTCCGATGCATTGCTTGACTGATCGCAACAACATACATCTTCATCCATATTATGTGACCATTACTCTTTAATTTTTGCTTGAAATTTTGAACCTTTGCCACAAGTTTTTTCAAAGGATTTTTTGACGTTGTCTGAAAATTGACAATTTTTTGAATGATCCAAATTGGCGTCTAGATTTTATTTTACAAACCCCAAAAAGTTTTACTCACGCATTTACGTATTGTTTTTAAAATAAAACATCCATTATTTTTTTCTAAACAAAACAAATTAATCAATAAATTAATGTTTAATTTTTGCGCCCATTGTATTTTTAATATAAAACAGGTGTCTGCAATACCGACCCAGGTGGCGCTCGATTACAACAATTTCTCAAACTGTCAAAAAGTAAACTTTTTAGGTGTGATTCACTTCGATAATCTCTAAAAATAAATTGTAATTGGCCAAAAAACCTCTGGACAATTAAAAACAATGCTTGGGAAATAATTTTGGGCGAAATTGGTGCAAAGATCATCTTGCTACGTTAACAATTTAATTGACAGTTAAAATTCAAGTGCAATTACATATTTTTAAGGACAAATTAAGTGATTTAAGTGAACATGGCATCTGGTAGTACTTTAACAAAGGCCATAGAATTAGTTACCAAAGCCACTGAAGAGGACAGAAATAAAAACTATGAGGAGGCATTACGATTGTATGAACATGGAGTCGAGTATTTCCTGCATGCCCTGAAATGTATGTATAACGTTTATAACAGTTAAAGTTTATAAATAATGTTGTTTTATAGATGAGGCTCAGGGGGAGAAGGCTAAAGAAAGTATTAGGGCTAAATGTGTACAGTATCTTGAACGAGCTGAAAGCCTTAAAGAAGCTGTTCGAAAAGGCAAAAAGAAGCCCATAAAGGATGGGGAATCAAACTCAAAGTATGTTACCCCAAGTAAATTTAACCTACACCACTTTTTTGTTATTGTTGTTTTAGAGATGGCAAGAAAAGTGATAGTGATGATGAAGATGGTGATGATCCTGAAAAGAAAAAGCTACAGAACAAGTTAGAGGGTGCTATTGTGGTGGAAAAACCACACGTAAAGTGGAGTGATGTTGCTGGTTTAGATGCGGCTAAAGAAGCCCTAAAAGAGGCTGTTATTTTGCCTATTAGGTTTCCACATCTTTTTAGTGGCAAAAGAGTCCCTTGGAAAGGAATCTTGCTTTTTGGGGTAAGATATATTAAGTATTTTGGATATTTTTTACCAGCAAATTTATTATGTTTTTTAATATTTTTAAAAAGTTGCTCAATATTTTTAAAAAGTTGCTCAATATTTTTAAATAACTTAGAACTCTTTAAAATGTTGTAAAACTGTTTTGAAATATCTTATTCATCTAAAATGTCAAAGACTTTTTAATAAAGTTTTTAAAACTTGTACTAAAAACTGTCCTAAAGGCCCCACATACTTTGTTCTTTTTATTTTTTTTATTTCACCATAAGAAATTCTAGCAGTTAATTTTTGTTTGTGCTGTCATGAGAGAGAGAAAATCTATATATTAGCATTTTTAAAAAACCAACATAAAAAATTATCAATTTTAATTTATCTTTTTAAATTGGTCTCTGTTTTCTATAGATTTAGATATACCTAGATTATCCAGGTTTCAATAAAATCTAGCATGTGTGTTGTCCACATAATCTTTATGTGCATTTGTTGTTTTTTAGAAAATTGGTAAAATGAATAATATTCATTCATATTCATAAAACAGTTAGTCCTAGGATCATCTGTCTTAAAATCATCTTAACTACAAATTGCGCGCCATATACCAAATGGGTTACGACTTTTCCAAAATTTTTGATGCGCTGAATTTCAATCTGACCTCAGAATTGCTCCATCACATCAGGTTTTTAAGAAATTCCAACACAAAAGTAGAAAAAACGCGTTTTCTACATAATGAAATATTGTTTTGTAGAGAATTATTAAACGCTTAAAAAAAAAGTAGTATATACAACACGGCGGAGAAAGCATATTAACTGCCTCGCTTAGATCTGCGAACGCTGAGCTCGGCTTTAATAAGCGCTTTCTCCGCCTGTTGGATAATGTACTATTTACAACAAAACTTGTAATTTAATCTTCCTTTTTAAAACCCTTTTTGGATTTTGCAGTAAATTTTCTCCTTTTTGTAAAAATCCTTAGTAATAATCAAAATGAATACAAAATTTTACCTTACTCAAACTCATAAATTTCAACTCGAGGAGGGAAAAGTAGCAGTTTCAGTAGCGCAAAGAATTTTATGAAAAAAATACTGTGTGAAGTAATATATCCAACCTTGTAACTCTTCTAATAAAAAATATACCTATACATAAAATGATACTTGGTGCACCCTTTATAGTTTTGTATAGCGACTAAAAATACCTTTACCCCAGCGACGTGTGCAAACGACGCTAGTAGCTTCAAGCAGGGTTGTATATCACGCCGATATATAACATGATATATTGACGATATATATCAACTATTTATTTCCTGATATGTTTACATTTATCATCATATTATAAATGTTAAATGTTAACTTTAAAATATAATCCAGTATGATCCTTATTTTCATACACTTAAATATATAAAAGATTGTTCTGAAGAAGAAATACGGTTTTTATTTTATAATTAATTAAATTATGTTATTTGAATTTGCAATTTTTATCTTAATAAAACTATTTGAACATAGAGGTTTTTAAAATAAAGACCAAATACAAAATATAATTATTTATAAGATTAATATTAAAATATCTGATATATCCACTGATATGATATTTATTTAAATATCATGATGGTTGGTATATCAGCAGCACAAAGGTATCCAAAACGCTTATAAACGTCATTGGCCAAGAACGTGTAAAAATTTACTAAACATTTAGAACTGCCCTAAAATTTTAAATAAACAGTATTGCTAAAAATTGTAACCTTTTTAAAATTGTTGGTATTTATTGCATGTAATTATTGTAGTATGTATACAGGGTATTATGTAATTAATGTAATATATTAAAATACTGAATACCTTTTGACATAAGGTGTAACGGAAAAATATTTAAAAAAAAATTCCCATAGATAAAGATAAAATAAGCATTAGAAGTTTTTTTATATATTTTTTAAACGCCACTGTGTTCTGTAAGTACCTATATAATATATTTTATCTCCACGCGGTCTATAATTTATACTTACATTCGATAAAGAAATACCTTGTTATGGCCTAGGCCGATAAAAATTTTTATGAGGCAAGTAATTAGTTTGATTTTTTTTCGCTAGGGGTATTGTTTTGACAAATTAATCCTTTCTAAGAAATTAACGTACTAAACTGGTTTAATTTATTTATAATAAGCACTAATTTGTTTGTTTTACTGTTAATGTTTAATATTTTTCATTAGATTATTGTAAAATTAAATATGAATAATAAAACAAAAAGTAAGGCTAGGCAATCACGATTCGCACGATTCTTTTTCTACGATTTAAATTATCTTTAAGTTTTAATTTGCTTTAAGTTTTCAGTGAAATTAAATATTAAATACAGCTTAAACATTCCAAACTACCTATTTTTTAAATAAAAATCCAAACAAATTGAAATAAGATACCTACCTATTTATTAAATAATTAATTGAATTCAATGTAATAGCAAAAATCAATTTCTACTTAAATCATGTTGCTAGGTATTGTCAAACTATTACTGCTTCTAAAAGCAATAATAATTATTGTACATTTAATGTAATCTTTAGCTAATAAATAAATGAGATTCCAACAAAGTGAGGTTAGCCGCTTTGATGTTGAATTAAATTGACCTATATAAAGTGCTTTGAAGATAAAATGTTGTATGCCATTCGGCCAAGAAGTGCCTTTTTGTGCTTCGCTCAATTGTAGGCCTCCGCTACGCGTCGGCCTTCAAACCTTGAGCTTAGCACAAAAAGCCTTACTTCTTAACCTGATGACATAAATAACTAATATATCAACAAACAAAGTAGCTGCGCGTTGCCAGTTGTAAAAAATTGTTACTAAAAATTGTTCTTGCAAAAAATTAATAAAAACTCGATAAATACAAAAGTTTTATGCCTTTAAAGCTCTAATACCCTTCTGTATTTATTTACTCATCCAGCTATTAGCTTAAGCGATGATTAGAAAATTAGTACCCGTTTTAAAAACTTCATAACCCCAAAAATTTTTTTTTTCTTTCTGTTTACTCTGATTCAATTTGTGTAAATAAATCCAAACGCACTTCTCTTAGTTAAGATATTTACAATTTGAGCACATAACCTAAAATTTGAATAAAAGTTGCCAGATTTTGTTTGAATTTACCTGCATTACAAAAATGACATAAACAATTAATAAAACCGCCAAATTGACAATTGGCATTGTTGATTTTGTCATTTTTGTAATTAAGCTAAATTTAAACAAGTTTTGTCAACTTTTTTGACAGAATCTGGAAACGCTGGTTGTTACCAACCATAACATAATAAATTAAATTAGGCAACCAGATAACCCTAAAGTTCCTAGTCGATCAGTGGCGTACTTTTTGGTAGATTATTATAAATTATTTTTAGTCTTTGGGGAAAAAATTTCAGGTGCGTCTTTATGGACCCTAAGAAACTACCCATTTTAATATATTACATTAATTACATAACACCCTGTATAATATATAAATTCTTTTTCTAGCCTCCAGGTACAGGTAAATCGTACCTGGCCAAGGCGGTGGCCACCGAAGCCAACAACTCCACTTTCTTTTCCGTCTCGTCGTCCGATCTGGTGTCGAAATGGCTCGGCGAGTCCGAAAAACTGGTGAAAAACCTGTTCGATCTCGCGCGCACCCACAAACCCAGCATCATTTTCATCGACGAAATCGATTCCCTCTGCTCGTCGAGGTCCGACAACGAATCAGAATCCGCCAGGAGAATCAAAACCGAGTTTTTGGTCCAAATGCAAGGTAAGTCAATTTTGACATTTGGCAATTCTGTCATTTAAACCCCATGGGGCATTGCAATGGGGTAGTTAAATTTTTTCTGACCTATACTTTTTATGGTTTTATTCAAGGCGTTTTGTAATTTTAAACATTTCTGTGAAATTAGAATTTCAATTGAGTTTACCATTTTTGAGATATTTACAAAAAATATAAATTTTTATGACGTCACAAACCTCGCCATGTGACCAACATTCTAAGATTTCTATTGGTTGAAAATTACCGTTGTCAAGTTGTCTTGTTAATGATTTCATTCGGTTATGTCAGAAAATACCCGAAGAGGTTATGTACAAATACTGTCACTGTCAGTTGAGTGAAAGAAGAAGAAGAGGAGGTTAAAGAAAATTCTGAAATTAAAAGTTTTATTGATAGGTTTACACATTGAAACACCGTGTGAAACCTAATAAAATGTAATAAATAGGTACCTAATAACTGTCTAAAGCAGAGTTTAATATATTAAACCAAACAGTTTTTATATAACATCATTAATTCTCTCTGTGATATGTACATATGTCAAATAATTAGATTTTAAGTAATAGACCAAACAGTTTTCACTGTGTTAATTATCTGTGATATATGTTAATAATAAGATTTTAGGCTAACATTTTTTTTCTCATGTTAATAATTATTATAATTATTATTATTATAATCAACTATAAAAAACTGTAAGGGGATGAACCTCCATAGATTTTCTTTGTAATGTCTCATTGGTTCAATAAATCTATTCATTCATTCAAAAAAAAAAAAAAATAAAGCTGAAAATGAATGAAATAAATTTACAAAAAACAGTAAATGTAAGTTAACAATGGTATTTATGATATTTGTGTATAGTTTTAATAAAACTTGCATCCCTGATGATGAGCATCAAAACCTTTTGTAAGATTAAAAAAATGTATGACAAACTTTTGGACTGTTCGAAGATACTACGCTCTAGAGTACATTTTTGTACTTTTCGACAATTCTGGTTTAAATATTGCTGCAATAACGTACATAGTAGGTAAAGATAGTGCAGGGTCTACAAATAGACATTTTGATTAAAATTATTCAAACAGATGGTCACCAAATTCATTAAGTACCTATATTCCTTATTACGAGGTATCATATTACTGTTTGATATTTTAGAGTCCAAGATATATCTAAAAGAATATAAAGAACTAGGCATTATACTAATGAAATGCATTTACGACAAAATATGATTATAATTATAGGTACTTACTTAATTTGTTTAAAAGCTCCAATGTTCAATGTAACCAACCATTCCACAAGATTCCTCTGCTTTGGAGTCCGTTATTAATAAATCACTTATCTAATATCAGTTACAAATAACATAACAATAACATTGATTTTCAATAATCTAAATTTAAAAAAAACATAGCCCGAAAAAAAGAAACGTCAAAAAATCAATTCTTCTTCTTCTTCTTAACTAAAATTATAGATCAAGTGGTTTTAAAACTAAAATATTATAACGTGGCGCCATCTATCTTAAGAATCTTAAACTAAACACACTGGCAACCATAGAAAAAGCTGGCAACGTTGTCAATAGCCTAGTGACGTAACTAGGAGATTTTTTTTTGTAAATATCTCGAAAACGGTAAACTCAATTGAAATTCCGATTTCACAGAAATGTTTAAAATTACAAAACGCCTTGAATAAAACCATAAAAAGTATAGGTCAGAAAAAATGTAACTACCCCATTCTGACACTTCTGTCATGTTTGCTTTGTTTTCAGGTGTTGGTCACGATACTGACGGTATCTTGGTGCTGGGCGCCACGAATATACCGTGGGTGTTGGATTCGGCCATCCGCAGAAGATTCGAGAAACGTATTTACATACCGTTGCCCGAGGAACCTGCGCGAGCCACCATGTTCAAGCTGCATTTAGGCAACACACACACCGAACTGACCGACGAGGATGTCAAGGAGCTGGCTAAAAGAACGGATGGGTAAGAAAAATTGTTTGTCATCTTCTGACGTTTACATAACTTAAATCGTATTTTGACGTTAACACTAAATAGGGTTTTAAAACTTGAGCCAGCGGAAAAAAACCGTTTTTTTTTTCGTAAAAAAACGAAAAAATTGGGAATTTTAAGAAAAATTGACTTTTGCATTTTTTATATTTTATTCACAGGGTAATACGAAAAAATTAAAAAGTCAATTTTTATAAAAATATACAAATTCACAAATACACTTATATCGAGAAAAAATAATCATAATATTATGATTATAATAATTATTCCTTTTATTTTAATTCAGTAAGGATATTCTACAGGGTCGCAAAAAAACATATTCAATTTATAAAATTATAATTTTGTAATTTAACTTTATAAATCATTCATTATTTTGAATTGGATATTTTTACTACTTTTTTTCTAAAAGACGTTTATTTTTTTAAATCAATTTTTATTTATTTTTTTACAATCAAAATATTTTAGTATAATTATTAATAAGTATTTCAAAAATGTATATTCCGGCTGAAGGCCTTTTGAAAAATGTGTTTTTTTCAATAAAGAACATTTATTATTATTATTAATGTTAAGTTTTATTTTTTTCTTCTGTAAGGATTTTTTTAATTAAAATAATTTTAATAAGTTGTTGATTGCCACTTTTTTTCAAATGTGTATATTTTCCATTAAAGGCAATTTTTCCAAGGCCTAGGAAAAAAACAAGCTTTTCCCAGTTTTTCCGTTTTTTTTTTCGACGCTTTTGCAGAATTTCAAAGTTTTTCTTCATTGCCAACCACTTTTTGCTGCTGACGAGCGGCAGTAAAAGAACTTTTACTGCCTATCAAAGATAATGCCAAAAGTGCTTTTATGTTAATTTACTAAACACCTCTTTTTAGCAAAATTTTATTTATTGTTTGTGTGGACAATAAATTAACAATTATTTATTGTCGACCTTCACAATTAAAGATTCTCAAAGTCAAAGAGGAATTTACTCCCTCACTTATGAAAGCATTTTTCATGGAATGTTGCCCTCGATTTTCTGTAAACATTTGCTACATAGTAGCATATCTCTAGAGCTGTTTCTTCGTAATTTTCGTAATTTGTAATTAAAATTATTTGGTTCAGTAATTGTTGACAGTATTTTTATTGCACAATCATTCTTTTAAGTCTTATATATTGTCCACCTTCATTTTTACCATTTCGTCACATCTACATATGCCAAGATATGCCAACCAACCAAAGGATCTATAAATAATTAAAAACTTTGTTAAGTATCCATATTTATGTATTGTATATGATAAAAATGTTACCTTCATTCCCAAGTATTCTTTATCAGGAGCATTGGACAAATTGCTCAAATTCATTTTTGTGAATCTTACCAACATGACGATATTGTTTGTGTCGTCGTCAATTAATTTTGATTATTTAAATCAAAATTTCTATTGCAAGTTTATTATACGTCAAAATTCAAATATTTTATTCAATCAATGATAAACAATTCTCGGAAGCTTCTTAACGACTCGTCATGAAGATATCTTTAACGATAAAAGTGTCGTAAAGTGTCATTTTTGTCGTTATTCGGATCGTCATTGTTTCATTTTTCTGACGGTTGTGAGTTCTAAAGTTCAGAACCTCGTTATTAGTGGAATAAATTAGTGGTTTCAATTAACGTAAAAGTGTGTCTTATGAATATACACAGTCACAACCAAAAAATTAGTGGTAGTACTTTTTAATTAGTGGAAAAACTTTTACCACTAATAATTAGTTAATTAATTCAATTATAATTATTATAATTGGAATGCGGCTTTGCGCATGTGCGCAAATATTTTATTTCAAAAGCAAAAACTAACCACTAATTTTTCCACTAATTACGAGGTTATGAATGAGGCTTAAGAAATACGCCAGCAAAACATTTTCTGAATAATTCTAGACGCTTTTTTTGCACCAGTTTTGAATTTCTTTAAAAGCTGCTACATAAAGTGTTGACGATTTTGTTGGTATTAAATTATCGGTGGCAGATCCGGAGGCGTACGATATTTCAGGGGAAGTACCCATCATGAAATCTTTATCTGACATATTAATAATGCTTCAAGAAGTTTTAATAAAATAATCAATAACCTCTAAAGAGAATACTTACAAATCAACAAAAAATTCACCAGCAAACAAAATGTCATCTCCAAATTTGGACAGTAAAAGTGTGAGATTTTATAATCCCGAACTAGTTCGGACATCCTAGGCATGCGCATTTTAATATTTGTCATGCGCACTTTACACTTTGAACCCCAAATTTTAAAAAGCGCATGCCTAGGATATACCGGTTGATTTATTATTTTTTTAATTAAAAGAGCATAAATTGAATAGTATGTATTCTGATTTTCGGATTGATCCGATCAAATCCCGCGACGCTAAATGTCCCACACTGGACCAATTTAATTAAGTTAAATTGTCAATTTATAGGAAAATTTTAGAATTACAATATTTCAAGAGAGAAGCCTCATTCAGAACCTCGTAATTAGTGGAATAAATTAGTGTTTCAATTAACGTAAAAGTTCAGTGTTAAAAGCAAAAAGTTTGAAGAGTTGCCAGTGAAGGAAAGGTTATTTAAATATTATTGTAATGGTTGTAAAAAATATTATTTTAATATAATTAATATTGTTTATGTCAGGTTAAGAAAAATTGACAATTATGAGGTTCTTAATGAGGCTAGAATTTTCCAAAAAAAAGGGAATAAACCAATTTCCAAAAAAGTTGTTGCATTTTAAACCGGTGTAAAAGTAGTGGGTCAACATATGCTTTTACTGGCCTAATTGTTAACACCTACTGATTTTTTATCTGTGGTCCAGATTTGAGTTTTAAAGTGTCAAAAAAAAATCGGAAAAATTGGAAAAAAAACAGTTTTTTCCGTTTTTTTCCCTGAAAAATTGTTTTTTTATAGTAGTATACAAAGCAATTAAAAAAAATTTTTAATTAAAAAAAAATATCCTTAATTTATTACAAAAAAAACAATTAATACTAAACATTAAATTGAATTGAATTCATTTAAGAAAATAAACGTAAACGAAAATATACTGTCGGTTGGATCATTTTTGCAAAAGTCCATTTACAAAATATTGAATGATTTATGAAGCTAAATTATAAAATTAAAATTTTATGTATGTGTCAAACAAAACGAGCATCCAATTTGGTTTTTGCGACCCAGTAGAAGATTCTTACTGAATTATAATAATAGGTATGATTACTATAATCATGTTATATGATTATATTCAGTCGAAAATTTACATTTTTCTTGATATCAGTATTCGGAAATTTTCAAAAAAATTTACTTTTATTTTTTTCATATTAAATAAAATGAAATGTAAAAGTCAATTTTTCTGAAAATTTCTAATTTTTTAGTTTTTCCCGGAAAAACAGTTTTTTCCGCCATTTTTCCTATCATTTAAAAAAACAGTATATTTTATGCGAAGTAAAGTGACTTTTTGTGGCTCGTCTGTATTTGCCGGACTTGCAGGCTCTTAATATTTTAATATTTTTGGGTTTTATTCTGTTATTTTTTTATGCAGTACAAAATAAAGATTCTGTTGATTTTACTTTTAAAGTTGGCAGCCTTAGCTAACACACCGACCTATTGTAGATATTCCGGAGCCGATATTAGTATCGTGGTGCGCGACGCGCTTATGCAACCAGTGAGAAAAGTACAGACGGCTACGCATTTCAAGAAAGTCCGCGGCCCCAGCCCGAAAGATCCAAACGTCATTGTCGACGATTTACTTACGCCTTGCTCCCCAGGCGACCCGGGCGCCATCGAGATGACCTGGATGGATATTGACGGAGAAAAATTGGGGGAACCACCCGTCACGTTGGTAAGAAATGTCCACTTGACATCTCAAATGTCAAAACTGACTTTTTGAACGTCAAACCGATATTTAAAAAGCCAACTTGACAAAACATATATGCAATAGGGTGATTCATTTCCGCAAAGTTTTTGTTTTCTTTGGTGCTCAAGCAAAATATTAATCTGCATATAGAAAAAAAAATTCTCAACAAGTTTGAGTTCTTAATATAAATTTTAAGTACTTACTATTTAAATTTAAAGTTTTACCCTTTAAAATGCATGTAAAAAATATTTATTTTTTTTCAAATTTCTAATGCTTACCCACCTTTGACAATATTGCAAATCGGTTTAATACACCTTATGGGGAATTTCACGCTCTTTAAAATTGCTTTTGAGTTTTTTTTGTAACTCGCATTGGTTCACCAGTAGGAGTCGTCAAAGGACAGTTTTTGAAAAAAATCGTTTTTTTTTTAATTTTTTCTAACAAACCGCAAAAAGTAGGGAGAAAAAAGGGCTGAATCATAAAAAAAGTTATCCAACCAATATTTAATGAATTTACAGCAATTTTTATAACTGAAAACGTAAGAAATTGATAATTACCAACTCATAATGTTATTTAGATTGATTTTTTCTATTTATTATCATTATATTTCCCTACACTAAGAAGTTTTTTAAAATTATTGATTTCTCACTTATAATGAATATGAAAACAACAGATAAATTCATAAAAAAACAATAAGAAAAATGTAACGAGGATTTTGCGATTTTTCAACATTTCTGTCATATAGAAAAAAAATATAAATGAAGATTATTTAATTTTTTGAAGCGAAATTTGAAATATGTTATACATAACCTTCTGTATATTCCGATTAAAGTTTTGTTGTTTTTTTTATAAATTTATGTGTTGTTTTCATATTCATTATGAGTGAGAAATCATAATAATTTTAAAAAAGTTCTTAGTGTAGGGAAATATAATGATAATAAATAGAAAAAATCAATCTAAATAACATTATGGGTTGGTATTTATCAATTTCTTACGTTTTCAGTTATAAAAATGGCAGTAAATTCATTAAATATTGGTTGGATAATTTTTTTTTTATGAATCAGCCCTTTTTTCTCACTACTTTTGGCGATTTGCTCAAAAAAATAAAAAAAAACGATCTTTTTCAAAAACTGTCCTTTGACGACTCCTACTGGTGAACCAATGCGAGTTACAAAAAAAAACTCAAAAGCAATTTTAAAGAGCGTAAAATTCCCCATAAGGTGTATTAAACCGATTTGCAATATTGTCAAAGGTGGGTAAGCATTAGAAATTTGAAAAAAAATATATATTTTTTACATGCATTTTAAAGGGTAAAACTTTAAATTTAAATAGTAAGTGCTTAAAATTAATATTAAGAGCTCAAACTTGGTGAGAATGTTTTTTCCTATATGCAGATTAATATTTTGCTTGAGCACCGAAAAAAAAACAAAAACTTTGCGGAAATGAATCACCCTAATATGCAATAAAAATCATGCCTTTTTCTTTGTTTAGAATGATATGTTGAGGTCCATTGCAACGTCCAAACCGACAGTAAACGAAGCAGATTTAGCGAAGCTTACAAAGTTTGCAGAAGATTTCGGTCAAGAAGGGTAAACACACGCGCTTTTTTAGATCACACAAACCATTGTAAATTATATAATAAACAAATTCAGTCCTTGAGTAAACATGCAATTGTTATATTGATCAATTGAGGCGTTAAGTAATTTAAGATGATGAAAAAACGTTTAGTTTTTAAGGCCTTGCTTTATTTTTTTATTGAATATGTTTCACTTTTTTAATTTATACATATTATACTCTCTCAGTTGTCAGACAGTTTATATTTGTAATCTATAAATTTTAATAAAATATGTACATTTGTTTCATTATTATTTTAACTTCAAACCTTCAAAGCAGGAATAATAAAACAGGAAAATGTTTTTATAATTTTATTATTTAATAAAACAGACAACAAAAAAACGTAATATCACTAATAAAATTATGTTACATAGGTGGCTGCGGATTTTGATCGAAAAACAAAACAAAAAATTGCACAAATCCTCTAAAATTAACAGTAATAATATCATCAGACAAGAAAATTAGGAACTAAAATTCAAAGTTCAAATTTACACTTGATTTTCAACTAACGTCAATAAACTTATTGTCAACAATTTACATGGAAAATTTACAGTCTTGGTAACGTCGGCACCTTCAAATATTTACACTAGAAATGGAAATTACATTTTTACAACCTGGACGTTTGAAGGTGCCTTTTCACCTTTAATTTCAATAGCAAGCTTCATGGGGGTTTTTAAAAATGTCTCCAAATTATTTATTGTTATGAAATTTTTGTTTGTTTCTTAATTTGCACCTCTGCTTTCTATACAAATAATTTTCCATAGAAAGTAAAGTCTTACATTTCAAGAAACCAAAAATGTAACTATAGACCAGGGTCGATAATTTTTGAAACCAAAAAATATAACAGTAGGATGAAACCCATTGGAAAAGGAGAAGAATATAATAAAAATGAAAGGAAAAATAAATTACGGGCGATCTGACTTCGGGAAGTGGGAGGGGGGGGGTTTAAGGGTAAAAAATGGTTTATCTCGATTTCCGGCAAAACTACAAGTCCTATGGAAAAAAGTTTAATGGCAAAGTTGTAGGTAATAAAAAGATCTACAACTTTTGTGAAAAATTCAAAAAACCAAGTTTTTGGTTTTTATTTTTATCTTTTTCAAAAACAAAATTTTTTCCACGAAATTTGGTGAAAACTTACCTTTTTATGTCCCAAATACACTGTAATTTATTTGATTTGAAATATTTATTATTTCGCCTTATTTTGACTTAATATCAAAAAAGCACCCTAATTTTCAATCGAAAATTCTCGCGTCAAAATATCAGCTTTTTTCAAAAAGTCGGTGTGCTTTTTGTTCCTTGAAATCTCTACTTTCTGATAGTGTAAAAAAATATACATTACTATGGTAAATGTTCTCAGAAAATGCAAAAAATATTATAATGAATAACGAAAAAAACTCGAATTCGAAAATTTATTTTAATCATTATGTACAATTTCATCAAAAAAATGTGATTGTTGCAATTTTTTTTAGTTAAAAAGTTTATTTATTAAATTCTAATAACATTTATGTCAGAAAATCTCATAAAATATGAAAATACATGTAAATCATACTATTCAATTTAGATACTTCATTCTGATTACGTTATTCATTATAATATATTTTGAATTTTCTGAGAAAATTTACCATAGAAATGTATATTTTTTTTACACCATCAGAAAGTAGAGAGTTCATCGAACAAAAAGCACACCGATTTTTTGAAAAAAGCTGATATTTTGACGCGAGAATTTTCGATTGAAAATTAGGGTGCTTTTTTGATATTAAGTCAAAATAAGGCGAAATAATAAATATTTCAAATCAAATAAATTACAGTGTATTTGGGACATAAAAAGGTAAGTTTTCACCAAATTTCGTGAAAAAAAAATTTTTTTGAAAAAGAAAAATAAAAAACCAAAAACTTGGTTTTTTGATTTTTTCACATAAATTTTGAGGTTATGTGAAAAAATTGTAAATACAAAAGTTGTAGATCTTTTTATTACCTACAACTTTGACATTTAACTTTTTTCCATATCACTTGTAGTTTTGCCGGAAATCGATATAAACCATTTTTTACCCTTAAACCCCCCCCTCCCACTTCCCGAACTCAGATCGCCCGTAATTTATTTTTCCTTTAATTTTTTTTTTTATTATATTCCCCTCCTTTTCCAATGGGTTTCATCCTACTGTTATTTTTTTTCTCTTTTTACCATTTTTAAAGGCTTCTGCACTGGTCTACTATGATTTTGCATAACAATAAACAATGTAAAATTTGTTTTGAAGAATACACCCCTTTAATTAAGTTTGGCAACACAGCAATTGATAACGTCGAACTGTCGGACATTGCCAACTAATAATATAAAGAAAAAAATTAACATACAGTCTCTGGCAATTTATTACTTGCTCACAAATTTTCTTTATTTTTGAACCACAAAACGCCTTCTAGGATAAAAAAAAACACAGTTTTACGATAAAATTAAAATAAAAAATTGATGGAAAAAAATTACCCACAAAATTAATATTTTTCAAAAACACGACTTTTTGGGTTTTGAAATAAAACTTTTATTACGACATCTAAACTTGTAATATTCAAAGTTTTATTGCAAAAATGAGTTTTAATGCCCAAAAACTCGTTTTTTGAAAAATATTAATTTAATATTCACTTTTAATTTTATCGTAAAAAAAGGGTTTTTAACGCGATTCTATTCACTTATGTAGTTCAAAATTTCCATAATTAAAAAAAAATGTGCAAGTTCAATAAATTGGCAAGACACTGTATATAAAAATTGACTATGAATCACAGTAATATCTAATGTACACTTCATTGCTAAACGAATACCACTTACATTTTGGAACAAAAAGTCTAGTGTATTTGTTTTGCAATGTAGTGCATATGTGCGACGCAGAAGGAAGTCAATAAATAAATAGTTTGGTAATATTTACATTTATATTTGAAGCTAAAAATTACGGCGGACAGTGCCTTAAATATTCCGAATCGAAGTAGACTATAGTAACCGTGATGTCGTCCCTGAAGAGGCGTACCATCTCTTCGGGTAACGTGAGCATTTGCGATATTTTACTATGGTCTATTCCGTATTCGGTGCCGCCCAGGGCGTTTCGTATTACGTGGGTGGCAGCATTGGAATCTTTCGGTTTGGTGAGCAGGCCCTCCTTCCGGGCCAACAGCATCTCGTTTATCTCGGACAAAGTGATTTGTTTTTTGGGCAGCGTCAGCGGACTCAACGTCACTTTGCCTTTCATGTGTTCGCCGACGAATCGTACGGCTTGCAACGGCGTCATCATGTCCCACAAACCGTCCGTCCCGATTATAAGGAACTTATCTCTCGGCGTCAGCCTGTGATGCGTTACTTCCGGTTTGCCGCTCAAATACGGCGGCGTGTGATAGTTTGGGGGAACCACCTACAATATATTTTTCTTGAGATTATCAAACATATATTTCTAAAGTTTGAGTTTTATTTCATTTACTTTTAATATTCTAAAATGTGTTTTTGACAAAATAAAACTATTTATTTTCTATAGTATCTCTGCTATTTATTTTTATATACGCATTATTTGGTTTCAGAATCTGCTATTTTGTGTTAAAAGGTTAAAATAAAATCATCTTTGGTTTCCGAACCGGACATGCCGAGCGCTTTAATATTAAATCAGGACTTGTCCATCGATCAATAGATTGTCTATTTCCTCTAAATTTTGTAATGCATTTATTTTTTAATAAAATTCATTCAACTTCTTTTATATTTAGTTTTAAAACCGGAGGTTTTTGTTGCTAATGCGGCCAAAGTTAAAATTAATATCTTGTAGTTATTCCAGATTGTTACAAAATATTAATGCATCAATTGAAAATTAATGTGGTACAATACATTACACTGTGCGACAAAATAAGGGTCAAAATTTCTCAGATGGAATCTGTTTACTGATTGATTAATTGATTATGGAAAAATGTCACCCTAAAAACATAATCTCTGTAGGATTTTGCTCAATTGGTAACAAAAAAATATTATTTTGCTACTAGTGCGTTTATATCATTTGACATTGTCCGTATACAGAAAAAAACACTTTTTTGCACGTTTTTTTAGGGTGCTAGTGAGGACTTCTTGGAGCCATGACGATTCCGATTTCCGTTTTTCATATATTTTAAATGCGAAATCTTCAAATTAACAATTAATTTTTTTTCATAATTACACAACATTTTTGTCTAATTTCTTGTTTTTTATTTGTTGTGTATAAAGGACGTTTTTTTTTTCAAAAATTTTGTTTTAAGTATACTTTTCAGAAAAATATATAACAAATTATTCAGACCGATCTACAACCTTTTTTTTAATGATTGACATTTTTTATTTTATTTTCTTTGAATTTTTCTGCAAATTCTCTAAAAATTTTAGAGTGGCGTTTTTTGTTTTCATTTTTTTTCTATTAAAAAAATTAACTCAATTTATTGCTTATAATCCACTCTAGGGATTTATAAGGAAGTAGAGAGAACCCCAAAAAAAAGAAATGAAATTGAATAATTTTTTAATAAATTTTTTGAAAACTACTTTTAAAAACAAAGAAAATAAAAAATAATATTATATACAATAGCTTTAAATACAATAAATAAAATTATTTAATAAATGATGTTTTTTAAGCAATTAAACAAAAAAACGCAGTTTAAAAAAACATGAAACGAGTCCAAAAACGAACCAAGTAACATTTTTTTCTTTGTTTTTAAATGTAATTTAAAAAAATATAAAAAAAAAATTATTCATCTGTTCTGGAACAATATTCTTTTATATGGGATATTTTGCGTTCATAATGACTTCATTATAACACCGCTTTCGATGCTGTAATGAGATACACCCAAAATTTTGATTTTATTGGTTGGCTATACTTTAAACAACATACTAGTAAAATAATATTTTGCATATTGGTTATAATATTTTTATGATTTTTCTAGTACTCACGAGACTTTTCTGGCAATAAATTTTGTTTAGCACCAAAGAAAATCCT